AATCTTGCCTGACTGCATGTCTAAACCGCCGGGTCAGTGGAGTGTAAAAGTTGTGGAAATTATTTGTCAGAAAATTAAGTCTCCAAAAAATTATCTGCCAAATGGTTTCTTCTTCTTTTGCCGGGTCAAATAATAATAATAAAATAAGTGAGTGCGTGTTTTGTTTTTTCGAGTACTTAATAGACATYTAGTAGTGCGAGATTTTAAAATTTCGAGTGATTAGTGAGTGCCAATGGGGAAAATGGAGAAGGGAATCGTGCTTCAAGGGTCCGGATTAAAGGGTAAGTCAACAACAGCTTTTAATTTTTTAGAAAAAATTTACTTATTAAATTGTATTTAATATTTTCAACTAATTTAATAACGCATTAAACTGATTTTGTGTTTCTTTATTTTCAGTAGGTGCGTGTAAGAAGCAGAGGCAAATTGCTACAATTGTGATTGTGAAATATACTTATTGATGATCATCACTGCGAGTAAATCTATTAGAATTAACTTTGATAATGCCTAATCCGATCTCTATTTATGACAGTGTTTGTTCAAGTAAACATCTGTTTTTTCTTCTAATCTGCCAATCTGCCATAAATAAGATTGGTTTATTGTTACCAAAAGTTACGTCGAAGATTTTCTTGTGAAGCTTTTGATGTTTGAATTGTTTCTGTGTTTTTAGATGTATGTAATAAATCAAAGGGTTTCAGAACCAAAATATCATTAATTCGTTACTGTAAATAATTGCAATTAAATACATTTAATGACAAAGAAAGATCCATATTTCTTTATTTAAATAATGTATCATTTGTCCGATAGAAGCAAACCGCCAATGTAACAAATAAAGCAATAAAACGGTGTGAATCTTAATTTTTTCGATAATAGAGTCTAGATATCGCAAATATACAGGAAGGTACTAAAAACTAGTATTGCCATCTGTTTGCTGATGAATGAAAAGAAAAGGGAGCTGGGAGAGAGACGCGTTGTCTGGCCTCGCTGGCTTGGCGACAGCTTGTCTGGCGTGACCAGTTGCGCAGTTGCCACTTCCCCACATTCCATTATATTATCCGCAGTTAATCGTCACACACTCGCTCAAAATCACGCAACTCTTGCACAAAATTACCGAACCAAGTGCTTCAAAGTGTCAGCAATTAAAACAATAGTTGTTTGAAATCGTAGAAAAGTAGGTAAAAAAGCGTGAAAATTCGGCAACGGCGCTCGTAAACTTGTTTCATAAACGGATGTCGGTACCTCCCATTCAACCGACGAATCACCGACATACGTCGGCGGTGTTACTCGTGAAATCGTTTGAAGAAAAGCGGCATGCGAGTGTTGGGTGTGTCTTAGCTTGTGTCGGAAAATATACTTCAGGTCCCTTTTGATGGCAAACGTGAGAATACAGTTTAGTCAGCAGTGGTGGGGGTTTTCTGTGAATCGTGACGAAAATGGTTGCTCCATAGGTCGCAGATAAGTAGAAGCGCGCTATTTTCGTTGTTTTTCGAGGGTTTTGTGGTAGTTTGTGGATGTGAGGATGGCGCACGGGCTGAATTCGGTGCTGAAGCGCGTGGGCAAGGGCGAGGGCAAGGCCGGCATCGGCTCGCGGCGGATCTTCGCCCCCCATTTCAAGCTGCAGGTGCTGGACTCGTACAGGAACGACGCCGACTGCAAGGGCAACCAGAGGGCGACGGCCCGGAAGTACGGCATCCATCGGCGGCAGATCCAGAAGTGGCTCCAGGTGGAGGGCAATTTGCGCAGCAGCGTGGGCAAGGAGCGGAGCGCCAGACTGCCTGACGACGAGGCGGGCCCCGCGCCCCTCGATTTCACCACGCGCGCCCGCACCCCGGACCCCGCGCCCATGGACCTGTCGCTCAAGAGGCCCGCGACACAGAGCGCACCTGCGGGCCCCCCGCCGTCACCGCYCCGTTTGTCGTCGCCACTCGGTCTCGCCCGACGGCCGCACCCGGACGTGTGGGATCTCTCCACAAAGCGCAAGGAGGTAAGACACAAGCTCCAAGAAAAATCAACGTTTCGGTAAAAAATGCGCCTTCGGCGTTTCACCTGACAAAGTCACAAGTCGGGGTCTACACTGTTCTGAAACAACATTAAACAAAAGATTAATGTGAAGGCTGAAACATTCAATGAAATTTCAGAACAGCAAAATCCTGAAACAGAAAACAGGTTTCATTTGAATGAGAATTAAGTACACATCTACAAGTAATAATATGTATAACCAAAATTAGATTATGAACGCATTTTGCAATAGGTACTCTATGTCGTATTTCTCATTATTATTTTAGTTTACATTGCCTCACTTTGTCTTCACTTTTCTATCTCCCTTCTTAGTGCAGCAAAAACCAAATAAATGACGTACATATTTTGGTTTATAATAAAGATTCAATCTCAAAATTCATTTTTCAGTTCTTATACAAGGCGAGGTCGTGAAATCGGACGCTTCATGAATAGCCTAGTCACATTGACACAAGATTACAATCGGAAACATATACAAGGTGATTTTAAAGTATGTAGATATGTGCAAATATACTGCTCCACAAAAGTTAAGGAAGTCGCATTATTTTTACAACAAACACATTTTATTCTCGTAAGCATTGTGGAATCCAGCAAAAACGAAAAAGTAAAAAGATATTTGCCTTTATCTTACTTTTAATTAATTATTAATTTATTTTTTAATAATTTATTAATTTCATTAATTATTCCTTCCTTAACTTTTGTGGAGCAGTTTATTTTAGCAGGAATAAAATCAAAATAACTAAATTTGCATTGGATAAGGTAAGTTTAGTTATTTTGACTTCTTTTGAGCTCTACTATCACTTTTTAAAATATATGTACGTACTTTAGAATCATTCCGTATGTATTTAAAAAAATCGTAATTTAGTATTTTAGGCTATTAACATTTGACTAAATATAAAATGATTTAACTATAACATCTATCTAAGAGACATAAATTACTTTTGTTCTTCCGACGTAAAAATTTCTACATTTTCAGAGTCAGATTTCAATTTGATCTCTAGATATTTTAGCTGAAAGTAAACACATTTGTGGGTGGGTGAAGACCTCATTATTTTACCTATCCTCCAGAATAAACTTACTTATATCGTTTATAGAAATTTATTTAGTTTTTCGGTAACTTTCTATTTTAATGGAAGAGTTCCATTAATAAATAAAAAAGAATCCGACCGAGAAAAATCAGAAAAGGCTACAACATATCTTACTTTTAAGACCGATATTGACCAAACTTGACATGATGACAGACGTTGACCTGCTAAGTAATATTATACTGTAGACTTCTTCGGTTCTCGAGTTACGAAGAGTCAGAGTTTGAGATTCTGATTTGCCAGAATAAGAAATGATTTCATTTAGTAAAATCAGTCATTGCCAGTGCCCTTATCTTTAAGGTTTTATCAAAAGAACCACATAATTACATATTTGATAGATAAGAGAATTTTGCTGAAGATATTTCCATGTTGGCTATAAAAATTTTGTTCGTAGTTCTAGTTAATTATCGAAAATTTGCGATTCTAAAACGATTGTTTTCCAATTTAGTATTTTCTGGTTGTGGAAACGAAACTATCGAAAGTAAACAAACGACTGATTACTTTTTAAAAGATGTGAATCACTAGTAGTAACTTATAATTTCGAATGAAATGAGTTTACCATTAAAAAACGGATATTTTTTTAAAGGTTTGCATGTTGAAAATTGGAGTAGCAAATGGTGTAGAATTTAAACATATAGTATTAGCTGAAATTTGGAAATGAATTTTACACTTTCGAAAATGTTTTGATTATAAAAAAGTTTATTCACGACTATTAAATACTACGTTTGTTATTTACGTAACTATAGGTATATTATGCTACTCATAAATTACACCCGTGACTAGTGACCTATCATAAATCACGGATCTGTCATTATTGTGATGTTGCCAACTTACGAATGGTCGTTATGGCCTACTGTTTGAGCACAATTTGCCATTTTTATTAATTAAATTGAAACGTCAAGTTTGTCAATTCGAAAAATTGAAAATATTTCGTAGTCGTGGAGAAAGCATCGTATTCTACTCGCATATAATGGCTGTCATTTACTCGGGTGATTAAAAAACTCGACTGCGACGTGTTTTTTAAACTTTTTTTTAATCTCACTTTCGTGAATAATAGCTATTATTACATGCTCGTTGAATAATATACTATTATATTTATATTTGAAAATTTGTTTTTTTAATAATTTAGCATATGTATTATCGAACAACAAATTGACATTTTGGTTTGGATTCAGAAACTTTAATGTGATATGTAGGTCACTTTTTTGGACTAAAGTAAAATAATTTTTACTAGGAATAACTTGCATATTTATATCACATTATTATTTATATTTTTATTGCTTCATAACGATGATAAGAAGCAATTAAATTAATTGCTATCATTAATTTGGTTCGTTCCAACAGTTTTTTAAGTGATTTGCGGCACTACAGAAACCAAGTTCTAATTTCGTTTTTATTTTTACATTATTTTTCAACAAGAAAGTCATTTTTTTTTCAAATTACATTTTCAAATATAATTTTTAGCATTCTTTTGTATGCGTGTATACTTTGCGTGTTAAATCAAATGATTACATAATTTATTCTCGAATTAATTTTAAGTTGATTTTGTAGACTTACCGTTGGTGTTACCTTTTCCTAAACAAAAATGTAATAAATTTCTTTAATTATGTACACCTGTGGAATATTTTACATTTGCGATTAACTTTTAATGGGCGGAAAATTATAGGTAATTTCTTACAAGCTCTTACATAATAATATGGTAAAGAATATTAAAAAAATTAAAAAAGTCTGTTATTTGTTGCAGGAAGCCCCCAAACCTAAGCTCTTCAAACCGTATCTCGACGATGACACCCCCAAGCGTGCGGAGCTGCCCCCTTGTTGCAGCTCGGCCCTCTCCGGCTGTTATTACAACAACAACGTCTGCGACATCAAGTCCGAATACTCGTCGTACACTCTGCACGAGCTCCAGCCCTACTATTACAGCTACCCGTCAACGTACCAAAGTCCCGAGTACGAAATCGCCCCCTTCTACGAGGACCCCAACTACGTCCAAAGTGTGGTGCCGTTGAAACAAAGACATAGCTACAGTCTGGACTTTAAGTTGAGCGCCATTGAGTGCTATTATCAGGACTCGGTTTGTAAAGGCAATCAGCGGGCGGTTGCCTCCAAGTACAACATCCACCGGAGACAAGTGCAGAAGTGGTTGAAACAAGCCGACGAATTACGACAGAAGAACGAAACTATTAAACACACCACGCCAATGGTGAGATAGGACTTAATTGTTAGAATTTTATCATGGTGTTAAGCCTCGAAGAGTCTAAACGTACCAAGCAATAACGAACATATCGGGAATGGCCTCCATTGTGTATTGCCTTATTAAATAGCTCTTTAGGGATTTATTGATAATCGTGGGTGCTATTGTTCAAATTTTAGATTAGTACATGAAATGTTATTGCTCAGTATATAAGTTACTTGTGTGCCTTGTTAGAGGATAGGTAGGAGAAAACGTGCCAAAAATGGAAGGCAGCTATTGCAAAACGGGCGATACAGCTACGACACAATTTTATCCATGTCTTCCTTTGCCATAATTTTTTGTAATATAATTGTTAAAACTAGATCATACTGCCTTTTTATTTATTAATTTATTTTACTTCAACTTTTTTTATCTTAAATGGTTGTATAACGAATTTATATAAATAAACAGTCTTGTATTCAGTCTATTGCAATTGATAATGTGATTTTTAGACGTAATTTTATTTGCTTTCAAACATTTGTACATAAACTAATGATATAATAAGAATAATGTGACCTTACATCTGTAGGTTGTGAGCAATTATCGGACGTTTATCAAATTGTACATACAGCTGGCCTGACTATAAAACGAACTTTTTATAAATATTGTATTATTTTATATGAGATATTTTATAGATGATATTAATAAAAATGTATATATTACCCGACTTTTCATTCCTTGACATTCATCACAACAAGAACATTTCATCATATCTATTTATAACATCGAATTGCGGCAGCAATGCCGTCGTTAAATAATAAGTCAGGAAAAGTCACGATTGATGACCTACGACCCAGGTAAGTGTTAACAATGTTATATTTTCTATCAACAATCATTTTAATTGGCATGATGATAGTCACAAAATTGGTTCAGTGCATAAACAAGCGTTTATTTACACTTGATAAACTGCGATATCTACAAATATAGCAGTAGAAAAACAAATGTATCGTGGGAGTTTGATAGTTATTCATGGCTTTGCCGTAATTCAAGGTGATAATTTTTTCCCTAGAACTTCTAAGTCATGATTGTTATTGTTCACATGCTTCTTCTATTCCACGAAATTCTGTAGATAATGTGCCGCACAAAGAAATGACATCGGTTGAAAAAAAAATACTAGGCCCGTCATATGAATCGAAGCAGTAAACTGATTATTATTGAATGCTTTAAAAAAAAAACAATTTTTCATACTATACAGAGTGCGCCAGAACTCGCGCCCCAGAGAAAATTTTCAAGTAAAGTAGGATACCAGGAACATGAAAAAAATGTTTAAAAAATTCTCTGTCAATATATTTTTTGACATTTGACATTTTTTTATATCTATTTAATGATACTGATGATCTTGTATGTTTTTTGACAATTATTTAGTAAAGGCACAAAAATTTTGCCAATAAAAGCCACAAATAACATTGAACAGAGTTACAATTTAAGATACAGCTTTCTTGTTTCCTCTTTTAATAGCCTATAGCAAAAAAACTTGAAAAATTATTTTTCCAACAGAAAGAAATAGAGTCAAACTTTAAACCCTCATAATTTCGAAATTTTTATAGATATTTTTTTTTAACATTTTTTCCATGTTCCTGGTATCTTACCTTATATGGCATTTTTCGCTGGGGCGAGTTCTGGCGCATTCTGTATGTATCTTTAAAACAGGTTAGGAACCCTCAAAATTTTAGTACACTTAACAATAAAATAAAAATCCTTGACTCTCCCAGCTTTAATCACTGTTTATAATTTCCTATAATATTCATTTTTTTCGTCATTAGTTCGATGGCAGGGTTTCAATTACTTTTTTGGAAATACACTTGAATGTTATTCGAGAGGAAACAGAAGGTTCTGTTAAAAATTTATAAGTAACAGTAAATAATAATAATCCTCGAGGCAGTTTTCGATGGTTATGGATGGTATCGATGGGTACCCGCGTTACGTTAGGCTTTCTCACATCATTAATTCTTTATAAATATTTATAGGATGGTGTTACAAATCGACGATATGTTAATTTGGTTCTTAAAAATATTATACTTAAATTTTCTGCGTTTCCTGCTCACACAACGCTTTGTGCATGTTTTTGTATCTAAATTATTGATAAAAGTTGTTAATAACTTCATAAATGGGACTCGTAAATGAGCTACATACGTTTAGTAGTTTTTGTATTTCTGTAGCATAAAATTTACATGTTTTACATTTCAAATTATTTATCATATGAATTTAAAATTCATATAAGTTTTTAATATATATAAAGTTGGAAAGTGAAAGATTGTAAAAAACCGTCATGAAAAAATATTAATAAATCCTAAGATATCACATTAAACATCCACTCTTACTAGTACTTATTTGGAAAAACGTGACTATTTATTTAATTTATATTTAGTGACAATGGTGCCTACTTTTTGACTTATACGTTTACATCCTGTAGTGGAAAAAAGTTTCTCTCTTGATGGTCCCCATTCAATAAACGCCATAGCTTCACTAAAAAGTATAACACAAAAGTTAAATAAATTATGAGAAAAATGATGATACGTACTTGACATACTCCTCTCTAGGATTTGTAACATTTCTTTGTTTAAACTCATCCAAAATGCAGAGTCTCACATGACGTCTTTCCATTGGTAGGAAGGGGACATAATGGTCTATCAAATTACTCTTAATTGTGTCAGAATGATGAAAACCACCTATTTCAATTAAATATTTCAATAATATATACAAAAAATAAAAAAAACAATATTGACCTTCTTCATTAAATGCTCCTTTTGTTATTAACGGCTCAAAATCTTCCAGTTTAAGGTCTTCACGCATTACACCATCTTCTTTCCATATTTCGAGAAAATGCTCATTTATTAAATCAGCACCCGTATTTGACAAAAAAATAAATATGCAGCCTCTATAATCAACCCCATCTACATCATCACGATAATCAATCATTGGTTTAATGATATTTAGAATTTTGGGAGGCATTTTATCAATTTCATCAAAAATAAACAATTGTTTACCACAGTTGGTTGTATTGCCTTTAATCCATTGATGTAGATTTTCCTACAAAAAAACAAGTTGGCACAAAATTCACCAAAACTTTATTTACTTACCTGATATTCTGAGACTTTATCACTATTTGGGAAGTGCATTCTTCCAATAAAATGATGCACAAATTTACTTTTGCTGCCATACTTGTACATATTTTCTATAATAAACTTAGTAACATAATTCTTGCCACTTCCTGGCCATCCATGAAAACTTAAAGTTAAAGCTTTCTGAGGTTCGTGGGTGTCATCCCAATGAGACCGTAAGGCGTTTGTTACGATATCTAGGACCAAATGTTGGCCATAAATGTGCTTTTTGAGAGCAACTTCCAGCCCTATTGCATAAATTTCGCTTTCAGTTAGTAACTAAAACCAGTAACTTACCATCGAAATCGGCATGTATTGCATGTTCTGAACAACACTCTTTAAAGCGGCAAATTGCACTAGCTGCTATACCACCAAGTGCTACACCTACAGGTGCTAAAAACCCAAATCCTAGACATGTTGTAATAAAACATTGGATAAATAAAATTTGTGCAACTACTCTTGCAAATTGCATTTTGCTTCATAATTATTTAATGACTACTGGGTTATACCGGCATGTATTCAACACCGTATCACACATATGTTGTTGTCAACTAATGTTATCATATATGTTTTTTGTATCAAACAAAATATTTATTCAAAAATTAAATTTGTGACATTATATATATAACCTCAACCTCAACACTTTGACGTTTCTGTTGGCATCTAAGAGACAAAAATAAAGGTGTAACCACTCTGAACTGTTGGCTGATACGTTCTGTTAATTTTTTGTACATAAAAACAGTATGCACTTAATTACAAACGTAATTGTATATCAGTTTATTTTTTGGATAAGATGGCTAATTTTTAGTAATTCGATTTGCAGCTACCTTTTGTAAAAACAGCTTGGTGTAAGTAAACAAAATTGTCAAGTTAGCCAACGTAAAAATACATGGGTTGTTACTTGATAATAGCAAAATTTGAAACACTGCAAAAAAGCGTTTCTTAAAATTGTTATATTCGATGGTTTGGAACTACTGTGTTTATTATGAAAAAGTTTTTGAGCGTAATTTAACGAAAAAAAGATGTGTAATTTGCATGATGTTGGTGTCACTGATACGTTAAAACTGACGCAACTGACGTCATCGCCAGCAATAGTCTGCCAGTGAGTGCCATGTTTAATGTCAAGTAAAAGTTTTTGGATAAAAACTGAGTTTTGTGTACCGTTTAAACTTCAAAGTGCTTAGATTATTATCAGAAAAGGTTCCAGGTTTGTTTGATGTCAAATTTTGGATAACTTTTAGCTATAATAAGTGAAAATATAAGTACAAGTTAGTACCACACCCCAAGACAATTTTGGAGTTTGCCTCACCCCGACTATAGCACACGAAACTGTCGTTCTTTGAAGATGATAAAACCTTTAATCTCAAGAATGATTTTAGATTATTGTACATATTTTTTAGAAATGTTTTTTTAACGTTTAAAAAATTTATTTTAATAATTATTTTCTGATTGAGCAAAGCCAAACCAAAAATAACATTTAATTTGCTATAAAATTTATTAAACAAGTTTTAGTAAGGAATTTCTTCATTGCGGTAAAAGTTCATGTATTGATTTTAAGTAGGTCATTTGGGAAGATTTCTTGTTTATTGTAACTGCCGGTTTACTCACTCATCTATGCACATTCCCCACTGTTATGTCATAGTTAAATTTGTTAAGTGCCTAAATTAAGAAGAATTAGGTGTGTGTAAAAGGATGAAAGATACAACGTTGTAATCGGATAATGCTTTGATGGACTTTTATTTAGTTTATGTAATATCTTGGGTTTGATAAGATTTTTTTTTAAATTCTTTAATTACTTACATGTTTTTTAATAAAAATCACTACCTTGAAATTGATAAGGAGTTTAGGAGATTTGATTGCTAAATTTGTCATTAACAAAAAATTGTGGATAAAAAATTTCTATAGGTGAAACTAGGTCCTTTATTTTAAAAACAAAATGTTTTTAAACTGTTTTTGTTTAAATGAAGACAAAAATTATAATTTTGTAAAATAATTCATAATTCTTTTGCAGAAGTATTTGAAACTGATTCACTATGGATCAGATACCTCCTCCCAAAGAAGTGAAGATTCTCGAAACAGCCGAAGATATCCAAGAACGACGTCAACAGGTTTTATCTAGATATGACAACTTCAAGGCTGATGCCCGAGCAAAAAGAGAAAAATTAGAAGATTCGCGACGTTTCCAATATTTCAAACGCGACGCAGACGAACTTGAATCATGGATCCTTGAAAAGTTGCAAGCAGCTTCCGATGAAAGCTACAAAGATCCTACTAACTTACAAGTAAATTATCATGGATTTAAAAATTGAGTTTTTATTAAAAATTTTAGGCTAAAATCCAAAAACATCAAGCTTTTGAGGCTGAAGTTGCTGCCCATAGCAATGCAATCGTTGTATTAGACAACCAAGGACGCGAAATGATCAATCAAAATCACTACGAGTCTGAAACGATTCGTCGCAGACTTGGTAATTAAAATTAAAATGATGTTTTTGTGTTTTTTTGATTGTGTTTTATGTGTGTAGAGGAGCTTCACCGACTTTGGGAACAACTCCTGTCGAAACTCGCCGAAAAAGGGATGAAATTGCAACAAGCTCTAGTTTTGGTGCAATTCATCCGTCAATGCGATGAAGTTATGTTCTGGATTAACGACAAAAGCACTTTCCTTACAACCGAAGAGTTTGGACATGACCTTGAACATGTCGAAGTCCTCCAACGCAAATTCGACGAATTCCAGAAAGACATGGCGTCGCAGGAACACCGCGTTACCCAAGTCAATGAACTCGCCGATAAACTTCTCCAAGACGGTCATCCTGAACGCGATACAATCATCACTCGCAAAGAGGAACTCAACAATGCGTGGCAACGCCTCAAACAGATGACTCTGATGCGCCAAGACAAGCTCTACGGCGCTCACGAAATTCAAAGATTTAATCGAGATGCCGACGAAACTGTCGCTTGGATCGCTGAAAAGGACGTTGTTTTGTCATCTGACGACTACGGACGCGATTTGGCGAGCGTTCAAGCCCTTCAAAGGAAACACGAAGGAGTGGAAAGGGACTTGGCGGCCCTTGAAGACAAGGTATCAACAATCGGGAAAGAAGCCGATCGATTGTGTGCCATTCATGGCGATCATGGGGATCAGATTCAGTCGAAAAGAGCCGAAATTGAGGATTATTGGCAAAGCTTGACAGCTAAAGCTAAAGAACGAAGAGATAAATTGTTGGAATCGTATGCTTTGCATCGGTTTTTGTCCGATTTTAGAGATTTGGTCTCTTGGATTAATGACATGAAGGCGATTATTTCCGCCGATGAGTTGGCCAAGGATGTTGCCGGGGCTGAGGCACTTTTGGAGAGGCATCAGGAACACAGAGGAGAGATTGATGCACGAGAGGATAGTTTTGCTGCAACGACTGAAGCAGGAAGATTGCTCTTGGAGAATGGACATTATGCGAGCGATGAGGTCAAAGAGAAGTTGTCCACGTTGGTCTCTGATAAAAATTCTCTGCTGGGTAAGTAGAAATGTCTGTTTTATGAATGTAAAGTATATACAGGGTGTTCGGTCCAAGTCGCTCCGGCTGATAACACCTAAACTTACTTCTTTTTTTTCAAAAAGTAAATATTTAAGTAATAATAATATTAGTTCTTGGCTTTCTTAATAAATGTATTAAATTTTTTTAGCACATCCGGTGTTGCCAGAAATGCTACCAAATTTAGTTTTTCAAATGGAACGTCTATGTTTTTTTCCTCCAAACAATAATAATTGACATGAAAAATACTGTAAACCACTATTTATTACATTTTGCGTAACACAATGCAATCAAAAAACATCTTAAATCTTAGAATTTTATAAGGAAATTGGTCTCGTAGCCTGATTTTTAATTTTAAAAGAAAGGTGTGAATAAAAAAATGCTTGGATACAGTTTAATTGTTCGTTTGACAAATCTAATTTGTCAGTTGATGAGCGAGTTCTCTTATGGAAACTCTTGGATTTTCTTCCACTGATAACAGAACATTCAGATTTCTATTTTCTTGTTTTTCACAAAGAACCACAGGTTTTTTATTTTTAAGAAGCGAATCTATTCGTCTCAGTTGTTTTGCAATTTGACTAAATCTCCAACGATTTGGGTGAACTCTATTTGAGTATTTTTCTCTCTACTGTCTTTCAGCTTCCGCTCTATTTTTATTGCAAAAAACACTTCAACACTTCAATCCGTCGTAGTTAATATCATCCATTATTAAAGATCTCAATAAGATTTATTGACAAATTAGGCTTTGTCAAACTAACATTTAAATACAATCATATTGCTTTTTGCATGAATACCTTGACAAGTAAAATCCGCCTACGTTGCAAAATTTTGCAATAAAATTCAAAAATTTAAGTTTTCCGAGTGCATTATGTAAAGTAAAATGTAGTAAATAGTGGTTTACCGTATTTTTCATGCCAATTATTATTGTTTCGAGCAGAAAAACATAGGTGTTCCATTTGAAAAACTAAATTTGGTAGCATTTCCTGCTACACCAGATGTGCCAAAAAAATTTGATTCATTTACTAAGAAAACGAGGAATGAATAGTATTATTTGAAAAATTAGTTTTGAAAATAAGTAAGTTTAGGTGTTATCGGCCAGGGCGACTTGGATCGAACACCCTGTATATGCACGTATTTTCACAAAAATATGCACAAAATATTAAGAAATACGCTCGAATATTTGCCAAATATGCATCGAGATGCAAAACTTTTAACAATAAAAAATCAAAGTTGGAATAAATTTTTGTCCGCGAGTACACTAAAGTTTGTATTTTCATCATCTTGAACCGCACACGATGAACGAAAGAGAATAAATAAATTGGTTTTGCCTCAGACAAGCCATTTTAATAACCTAGTAATTAAGACTTTCTATGAAATCTGTACTTTTCAGATCACATCACTTTAAACAATTTTGCCAAAATTCATTTGCAGGCAAGTACTTATCCACATAGAAGGATTTATTCGTTTTATACCAGGTGAATATAAAGTATGGGACCAAACATTTTTTGCTTAAACTATTTATTTTTTTAAAAACTAATTGATGAATTAAATGTTTTATCAAGAATAAAATTTTTCGATTTTTGTTTTGTTTTTGAGTTCTACAGAAATTTTAATTTTTTTAAATGGTAACCCACTAAAAAATGTTTTGTATACTCTCTCAAAAACAACTGTGTTAGAGACTATCTACTTTTTATTAATTAAAAAAAAAAATACGTAAATTACAATTTTGGCAATAAAAATCGCATAAGTCAAAGCAAAACAAAATTTCGTTTTGAAAATAAAAACAGATTTTTTATAGTACTTTATTTTATATTAATTATTATTTTACCGAGGCAAATAATTAATAAAAAAACCGTTTGATTCTAAACTACATATTCACGAATTTAAAAAGGAAACACTCAGCAAGATACTAATTCTTTGAGTCCGGCTTACGAATTACTGGTTGTTTTCTCTTTAACATATTTTGTAATCGGATCATTTTTCTTAAACTGGCCAATTTTTAACTTGAATTGAAATTTTTAATCGGAAATTTGTGATTTGAAGAAAATATGCACAAATATGTATTATTTCCTAAAATATGCGCGAAGTTGCCAAAATATGCTAAATATGCATTTTTTAATTGGCTTATTTTAATCAAAAAACATTAGAGATGCATAGAAAACTTACAATTTTGTTGATATACCTCTTAATAACAAATATGCATTTTGCATATAATCCGAGCCTTAATAATAATTAGTCGTTTGTATTTGAAAGTGGCTATTTTTTTGTTTTTTTTTTTAAGCATTATGGGAAGAACGGCGCATTCTATACGAGCAATGCATGGATTTGCAACTTTTCTATCGCGATACCGAACAAGCCGACACCTGGATGGCCAAACAAGAAGCCTTCTTGGCCAACGAAGATTTGGGCGACTCGTTAGACTCCGTCGAAGCCCTTATCAAAAAACACGAAGATTTCGAAAAGTCACTTGCTGCACAAGAAGAGAAAATCAAAGCTCTTGACGAATTTGCGACCAAATTAATCGATGGCGAACATTATGCTGCTGATGACGTGGCACAAAGACGAGCAATGCTTTTAGAGCGTAGATCAGCTCTTAAAGAGAAATCAGCTCAAAGAAGAGCTCTTCTGGAAGATGCTTATAAATTGCAACAATTTGAACGCGATTGCGACGAAACGAAAGGGTGGATCAATGAAAAACTTAAATTTGCCACTGATGAGAGTTATCTAGATCCGACTAATTTAGGTGGAAAGGTACAGAAACATCAGAATTTTGAACAAGAACTCAATGCAAATAAAACAAGAATGGAAGATATTACTTCGACTGGACAAGAATTGGTGGATGCTAGACATTACGCAGCGCCTAGGATTCAATCCCGTATGGAAGAAATTGTCAACTTGTGGGAAACTTTAGTCCAATCAACTGACAAGAAAAGTTCCAAATTGCAAGAAGCGAGTCAACAACAACAATTCAATCGTACGATTGAAGATGTGGAGTTGTGGCTGTCTGAAATTGAAGGCCAACTCATGTCTGAAGATTATGGCAAAGATCTCACCTCCGTCCAAAATCTTCAGAAGAAACATGCTTTATTAGAAGCCGATGTTGCGTCTCATCAAGATCGCATTGAAGGAATCACAGCTGCCGCTAATCAATTCGTCGAACGCGGCCATTTCGACGCTGATAACATAGCACACAAACAGAAAGTCTTGACTGATCGATACACAGCGTTGCAGACTCCGATGGCCATCAGGAAACAACGTCTTTTGGATTCTTTGCAAGTACAACAGTTGTTTAGAGACATCGAAGATGAGGAAGCTTGGATTAGGGAGAAGGAACCAATAGCAGCGGGGACAACTCGAGGACGTGATTTGATAGGAGTACAGAATTTGATCAAGAAACATCAAGCCGTTTTAGCTGAAATTAACAATCACGATGCTCGCATTAGTGCTGTTGTCGAAGCCGGTAAACAAATGATGGAAGATGAGCATTTTGCCAGTGACCAGATTCGTAACAGAGTCAATGCTCTGAATGACCATTGGGTACAGTTGAAGGAGAAAGCCAATCAGCGGAAGCAAGATTTGGATGATTCGCTACAAGCTCATCAGTATTATGCTGATGCTAACGAGGCCGAATCGTGGATGAAGGAAAAAGAACCGATTGTGAACAATACTGATTACGGGAAAGATGAAGATTCATCCGAGGCTTTATTGAAGAAACATGAAGCTCTGATGAGTGATTTGATCGCGTTTGGAAATACGATTGAAGCTCTGAAAGAACAAGCTCGCAATTGTAGGGTAAGTGATTGAAATTGAAGTAAAATCAGTTTGGTATAATTTTGTTTAATTTAGCAACAAGAACCACCAGTTGTTGACGTTACTGGAAGAGAAACAGTGCAAGCTTTGTATGATTATACCGAGAAATCCGCTCGCGAAGTTTCCATGAAGAAAGGCGATTTGTTGCATCTTTTGAATTCCAGCAACAAGGTGAGTTAAAAAATGCAAAAACGGATAATTTAAAAATTAAGGGGATTCTACCCAAAAGCTAACGGTAAATTTGAAGAAGCGAGGTTTTTTGTTGACGTATGAAAAAATAAAGAATCGACGTGGGGAAAACAGTAAACGAGATATTATTTCGTACAGCCGTAGGATTGATGTAAAAGGATTGTAAAAGATCCCTAAAATTGAAATTGTTGGTGCTTGGGTTTTTTACACATTTATGAATTTGATTTTGTTTTTATTTTATATTTATTTTAGCCCTAATTAAATTCGAATTTAAAATTAAAGTCGTAGTCGTAATTCGAGCGACCATTAAGGTGCGAAAATTTAATAGTCCGAGATTTTTAAGAAACTATAAAATTCGTGTTGTTTTTCATTTTAATATTAAATTAGAAATTTTATTAAATTCAGAAATTATTATGAAGCAATTGGTCAAAATAATATTAAACTTGACAATATGCCAAGAGAAGTGTATTCCATAAAACACGTCGTCAATCAAATTGTATTTTATAACTACATGAATATTTATTTTCACATTTTGTTAATTTTGACAATTTTCTTTAAAACAATTTTTAGATTTCTGCTCCAATATTAATGTTGAAAAATTTTTTGAAAACCACGAATTTTATATACTAGTTTATTAAAAATATCGGTCTATTAAATTTTCGCTCTCTAACAAAACAAAATATTTTTTTCAAGAATTTATTATTGTCAGACAAAATTAGTTTTTTTAAGTAATCATCAGATTTAGTGCAATTTATTGACATCGTGACAATAAGCAGGAAACTAATTTACAAGTTTTTGTACAACTGATTTCGTAAAAAATTTGTTTTTTATTTACAATTCTTAAAAATGTCATGATAACGTCGTCACTCAAAAACAAATTACTATTGAAAATTGCATGTTATAAAAATAAAGATTTTTATCTGACAAAATCGACATGAGCAAAAAAAATGTACTTACTACATTTTTGATAATTATTTTTAATTGTGTTAAAACCTCAAGAATAAAGTAAATATCGGGATTATTTAGCAATTGTGGCATTTACCTCGGTCGAACCCAACTGGAGATACAATGGAAAGAGAGAACTTATAAGAGATAAAAGTTTTAAAAATTATTAATCCGATTCGCTGGCATTTTTACATTTTTCAATATTTTGAAGATATATTTTGCGTATTACTTATCTACATTATTTGATAGGGGCTGAATTAAAAAAAAATTAAACAACAAAAAAGAAAATACATTTAATTCGATAAAAAATTAATAACTACCTTTTTTGAAAAAAGCAAAAATTGAGCCTCTGTTATCACACATATCTTTTATTAAAAAAAAAATTAAGCAAAAATTCCAGTTAGTTTCCGAGATATTTTAGATCGAGTTTACATTGTAATTCCCATAAGAAGAATACGGGTGGAATCCCCTTAAATAAATGTGTTTTGACAAAATATGAATTTTATAAATCGCTTTAATACAAAAATTTTTTTTTTAACTTGAAACATTTATTTTGAAGATATTTATAAATAAAATTAATTAATGAAAACTATATTTTTTAGTTTTTTTTTCAGATTAATGCTTTATTGGAGCCACTAGTTAACACTAGGGTGTTAAAGCAAAATCTTCTATATAATAAAATTAAATAATTAAGTGTTTTATTTTTGTAGTATGATTTAATTATCATTTTGTTACGTAAATCTTATTTTAAATATACACAAATGAAATGTTTAATTAATGATAGTACAGTTCCAAAAGAGTTTGTGTAGCGTAATGAAACTTATCAAAAGAGAATTTTTATCTTATCATTTCGAAGATGATCGTAACGTTTTTCCTTTTTAATATTGCCATATCTAATTTAATTAACAAGTCTAAAACAGAGCATTTTTCGGTACTTGTTTTTTGTAACTAGAAATGCTCATTTTTTTAAACATATTTTTTTTTAGGATTGGTGGAAAGTGGAAATCCACGACCGCCAAGGCTTCGTCCCTGCGGCTTATGTGAAAAAAGTGGACGCCGGTCTCACAGCCTCTCAACAAAACCTTGTCGACAACAACTCCATCTCTGCCCGACAAAACCAAATCAACACCCAATATGACCGTCTCCTCGCTCTCGCTCGCGAACGTCAAAACAAACTCAACGAAACAGTCAAAGCGTATGTTTTGGTTCGCGAAGCGGCCGAACTCGCAAACTGGATTAAGGACAAAGAAATGCACGCCCAAGTCCAAGATGTTGGTGAAGATCTCGAACAAGTGGAAGTAATGCAGAAGAAATTCGATGATTTCCAGACCGATTTGAAAGCGAATGAAGTGCGTTTGGCCGAAATGAACGAAATTGCGATGCAGTTGGTGTCTTTGGGGCAAACTGAAGCTGCGCTCAAGATTCAAACACAGATGGAGGATTTGAATACGAAGTGGACGTCTTTGCAGCAGTTGACGGCCGAGAGGGCTAATCAATTGGGGTCGGCGCATGAGGTTCAGAGATTCCACAGGGATGTGAATGAGACCATTGATTGGATTCAGGAGAAAGATGAAGCTTTGAACAATGATGATTTGGGGAAGGATTTGAGGAGTGTGCAAGCGTTACAGAGGAAACATGAGGGGTTGGAGAGAGATTTGGCCGCCTTAGGGGATAAGGTACCATTTTTCCCATTAGCCCGGTCAAATTAGTCATAAAAATAGTGGTCAAATAACGAAAATTCCGACAGAGCTAAATTTTGGTGGAGACCTTGGGTACACCATTACAAATAAAGTGTCAAAAGTCCCCATCGATCCCATGTGTGCTAAAATAGTTATTCGGGGTCAAAGGTCAAAATTTGTGTTTTTTTTTTTAAATTTTCTTCGAAAACGGTAAGTTTTATCAAAAAAGTAGCTCAGACAAAAATTATAGATCTTAAAATTATCTACAAAAATGGTCTTTATACTTTTTTTCTAAGAATCACCATTCCTGAGATATCGCGATTTTAAAAGTTGAAGGAGTAACGTTCTACATTATATGCACATACAGAGTGCGCCAGAACTCGCGCCCCAAAGACAAATGCCATGTAGGGTAAGGTACCAGGAACATAGAAAAAAAATAAAAATTCTACTTATAAAAATTTCAAGGTTTTGAGAGTTTAAATTTTGCACTTTGACTCTTATTTATTTCTGTAGTATAAATAATTTTCCGTTTTTTTGCTACATGCTATTAGAAGCGGAAACAAGGAAGCTGTATCCTAAACTGTAACTCTGTTTAATGTTATTTGTGGGTTTTATTGACAAATTTTTTGTACCTTTATTAAATAATTATAAAAAAACATATACAAGGTCATCAGTATTATTAAATAGACATAAAAAAATGTCAAATATCAAAAAATTAATGTCAAAATTTTTTTACAGATAGAATTTTTTAAACATTTTTTCAGTACCCTGGGGACTACCCAATTACTCCCTTTCAAAAAAATGCGCGATTTTTTGAACACCTGTATGTATTAAAAAATAAATTCTTTTTAATTCTAATGGAATCGAGATATTTATAAGTTTAATGAAATAGAAGAAAAATTTCAAGTAAATTAAGATACGAGAAACATGGAAAAAATGTTTAAAAAATTCTGTCAAAAAATTTTGACTTTTATTTTTTGAAATTTGACATTTTTTATGTCTATTTGATGATATTGAAGATTTTGTATGTTTTTTTACGATTATTTAGTGAAGGTACAAAACTTTTGTCAACAAAAGCCACAAATAACATTAAACAGAGTTATAATTTAGAATACAGCTTCCTTGTTTTCTCTTCTAATAGCCTGTAGCAAAAAAACTGGGAAAATTATTTATCCTACAGAAATAAATAAGAGTCAAAGTGCAAAATTTAAACTCTCATAACTTCGAAATTTTTATAGATAGAATTTTTTAAAATTTTTTCTATGTTCCTGGTACCTTACCCTACCTTCTTTAGGGCTCGAGTTCTGGCGCACTCTGTATGTGCATATCATGTAGAATGTGACTCCTTCAACTTTTAGAATCGCGATATCTCAGGAATGGTGATTCTTAGAAACAAAGTATAAGAACCATTTTGTAGATAATTTTAAGATCTATAATTTTTGTCTGGGCTACTTTTTTGATAAAACTTACCGTTTTCGAAAAAAATCTAAAAAACGTCAAATTTTGACCTTTGACCCCGAATAACTTTTTTAGCACACATGGGATCGATGGAGACTTTTGACATTTTATTCCTAATGGTGTACCTAAGATCTCCACCAAAATTTAGCTCTGTTTCTGGAATTTTAGTTATTTGAAATGTCTATTTTGACCGGACTACATTTATAATCAAGAAAACAATGCGAAATATGGTTGTTTTGTTACAGATTAAACAACTAGATGAGATTGCCGGCCGATTGGTCCAAACTCATCCGGAAAGTGCCGAGCAGACTCGAGCTAAACAAGAGGAAATCAACGAATTGTGGACACAATTGACTGCTAAAGCGAATAATCGTAAAGAAAAGTTGCTCGATTCGTACGATTTGCAACGTTTCCTCAATGATCATCGCGATTTAATGGCGTGGATGAATTCTATGCTCGGATTGGTTACGTCTACTGAGTTGGCTAGTGATGTTACGGGATCAGAGGCACTGATTGAACGTCATCAGGTAGGATTTTGAGGTGTATTCGAGGAGTTGCACGAGCATTTGTGTATAATATTGGAATGTATATAAATAAACAGAATGCTCTAAGGGTGTATGTTGAAACATAACCATCAATAAAAACAAAATACACATTTTATTAGGTTGTCTTAAATATTAAAAAGTATGATTATTTCCGAATTTTGAATGAAAACGAGATATTTACTATGTATTGGTTGATCATCTAAACAAACCATATTCTTATAAAGGAAATTTTCGTATTTTTCTATTTCATAAAAACTAATAAAGGTCTATTTATTAATTTTTTTAAATAAATTGGAACAAAAACATTTTTTAAATTAAAAACAGCCTTCAAAAAGAAGTGGTGAAATAGTCAAAAACACCATAAAGAGGAAAAATTGTTAGTTTCACAAAGCACCTCAAAACCTGCTGGAATTAGTAACAAATTAAAATGAAGACGTGTGTTTTCATAGTTATTTTTCAAAACTTTTTAAATAAAAACAAACTAATAAATGCTGTTTTAGCGTTATCATCGAATATATTTGTATTAATTGCCACAAAACCATGTATTTTTACATTTTTCACGCTCACATAATCGCAAACACATACTCAAACATGTGAACTGATTTCTTTTGTTTGCATTGATTTCTAGAACTACAGAGCTGAAATAGATGCACGTTGTGGACTACCTCAGGTACACAATTGCCCCAGAGTGTTTATAATCACTTTCGATAGTACTAACAATTTTATGGGCGTGTGTTGGTTTATCAAATTGCAATTAATTCCTCATTTACTGCTTTACTTTTGTTTTTCTGGTCGTTTTGAATTTTCATTTACATTTAAATTTATTTGATAGGAACATAGAACTGAAATTGATGCTCGTGCGGGAACATTCAACGCACTTGAACAATTCGGCCAACAACTCCTCAGTTCTCAACATTATGCAAGTCCCGAAATTCAAGAAAAACTAGAACAACTCAACGAATTTCGCAAAGAATTAGAGACACGTTGGATTGAAAGACGAGTCCAATTGGACCAAAATCTCGACTTGAATCTCTTCTACAGGGATTGCGAACAAGCAGAAAACTGGATGTCCGACCGAGAGGCTTTCCTTGCATCAGATGAAGTCGATTCCAACACCGACAATGTTGAGGCATTGATCAAGAAACATGAAGATTTTGATAAAGCTATCAATGCCCATGTAAGCCTTATTCTCATTTGTTGTTCAATTTATTAAATTGTTTAATTAGGAGGAAAAAATTGCCGCACTTGAAAGCTTAGCCAACCAACTCATCCAAAACGAACACTACGCGTCCCAAGACATCGACAACAAGCGTAAACAAGTCTTGGATCGATGGCGCCATCTCAAAGAAGCTTTGATCGAAAAACGTTCAAAACTCGGCGAAAGTCAAACCTTACAACAATTCTCACGCGATGCCGATGAAATTGAAAACTGGATCGCTGAAAAATTACAACTTGCGACTGAAGAAAGTTATAAAGATCCGGCCAACATCCAATCGAAACATCAGAAACATCAAGCGTTCGAAGCTGAATTAGCTGCAAACGCCGATAGGATTCAGTCAGTTCTGTCAAACGGTGCGAATTTGATCGAGAAAAGACAATGCGCCGGGTCGGAAGAGGCTGTGCAAAAGCGACTCGAATCAATTGCCGATCAATGGGAATTTTTGACTCACAAAACCACCGAAAAATCGATGAAATTGAAGGAAGCGAACAAACAAAGAACTTACATTGCGGCCGTTAAAGATTTGGACTTCTGGTTAGGCGAAGTCGAGAGTTTGTTGACGAGTGAAGATGCTGGGAAGGATCTGGCTTCGGTGCAGAATTTGATGAAGAAGCATCAGTTGGTCGAGGCTGATATCCAGGCCCATGAGGACAGGATTAAGGGTAATTGAATATCTTTCAATATTTCCCGAGCAAATTACAAAAAAAAAATTAAAAACCGATTACAGGTTCCTGTAATTTCAACTTTGACAGTCTCTTTGTTCTTAATAATTCTAAAGAATGCTCTGTAACTGCTACGGAGAACTACATACTAGGAGACGAAACGAGGTACAAAATTGCTTGATTTTTTTGAGCCCAAAAAAAGTAGTACAGCAGAGTAAAAATGAGGGCGCTTAGAGTGTTTTACCGTCTCAGTTTCAAATCGTTTTCAATTAATTTAAATTCAACCAATTTACTAATTGCTTGGAAAAAAATGCAAAAATTTTGAGCTTTATATTCTTAATAAGCTGTAAAAAACGAACTACTAAATTTTCATGAGAAATATGAGAAAAAAAAATTAAAATTCAAAATCTGTGCTCCGTTTCATGTTTTTCAAAATGCTGCGAATACGATTAAAGATACAAGAAAAATGTAAGAACGAAAGTTGTAGAAGATCAAATTTTCTAGTACCATACCTCTATCTTTAATGGTTTATAATTCTTTACAATTTTGTTTCTTACACTTTTTTGTATTTTTAACCATATTTGCAGCGTTCTTAAAAATATTGAGCGGAACGCAAACTGATAATTGTTTATAATTTATTTTTAATACTGTTTTTGATATTTTTGAAAACGCTGCGAATACGGTTGAAGATACAAAAAAAGTGTAGGAAACAAAATTGTAGAGAATTAACTTTCCTACAAAAAAAGTCCGCGAGACCATATCTCTATCTTCAACCGTTTAGGTTTAAATTAATTTTTTGTCTCTTAACCACCGGTAAAAATGAGCCGTATTCGTCGCTTGAGCGTCTTTGAACGTCTTTAGGACCTAAACCATTGAAGATAGAGGTATCATCTTGGAAGCTTTTTCTTGGAAATTTCATTCTCTACAACTTTCTTTTTTATATTTTTCTTTTATTTTTAACCGTATTCGTATCATTTTCAAAAATATGAGCAAATTGCTAAGTGTTTGAAATTTTTTTAAATATAGTTTTCAATAAAATTTTTGCATTACCTTTATCTCTTATTATTGAGAATTTAATGCTCTATCTGCTTTTATTATTTTTACTTGCGTTTTGCTCCCCGTTATGTAAATACAGCCATTTTTTTTTTTAAAACTTGAACGGGAAAGGAACAACTGCGCTATCTGGTCTCGCTAACGGAACTATCGAATGGGGACGTTTTGTTTTACATCGTGTCGTATCCTGGTCTTTTTTAGGTATCCGTATTCCCGAGCAAATTAAAAAAAGTTAAAATTACAGGTTCCTGTAATTTCAACTTTGGACAGTCTCTTTGTTCTTAATAATTCTAAAATGTAGGCTAAAGAGTGCTCTGTAACGGCAAAACAGTTTTAAGTTGACTGTACTGTTCCTGTAATCAATTTCAGCAATAAGTTTTGAAAAGTACTAATAAATTACTTTTTGTAGATATGAATGATCAAGCCGATTCACTTATCGAAAGCGGTCAATTTGACACCGCTTCAATTCAAGAAAAACGCCAATCGATCAATGAGCGTTATGAACGCATCAAGAATTTGGCCGCTCATAGACAAGCGCGTCTCAACGAAGCCAATACTTTGCATCAATTCTTCCGCGATATTGCCGATGAAGAATCCTGGATCAAGTAATACAAATTTATTTTTGTGACATCAAAATAAAGTAAATTTTTCACAGGGAGAAGAAGCTTTTGGTGGGTTCAGATGACTACGGACGTGACTTAACTGGCGTTCAGAATTTGAAAAAGAAGCATAAACGTCTCGAAGCCGAATTGGGGTCTCACGAACCGGCCATTCAAGCCGTTCAAGAAGCGGGCGAGAAATTAATGGACGTGTCAAATCTTGGTGTACCCGAAATCGAGCAACGTCTCAAAGCCTTGAACCAAGCTTGGGCCGAATTGAAACAATTGGCGGCCACTCGTGGTCAAAAACTGGACGAGTCTTTGACTTATCAACAATTCCTGGCTAAAGTCGAAGAAGAGGAAGCTTGGATTAGTGAAAAACAACAGTTGTTGAGTGTTGAAGATTACGGCGATACCATGGCTGCAGTTCAAGGTTTATTGAAGAAACATGACGCTTTTGAAACCGATTTTCAAGCTCACAGAGAAAGATGCAAGGATATCAACGATGCTGGGAAGAAGTTGGTCACGGAAGGAAACCATCATGCTGATAGCATTAACCAGCGTTGCCAACAATTGCAAACTAAATTGGACCATTTGGCGGCTTTGGCTGGTCGACGCAAGGCGAAATTGATTGACAATTCGGCCTATTTGCAATTTATGTGGAAGGCGGATGTTGTTGAAAGTTGGATTGCTGATAAAGAAACACATGTGAAGAGCGAGGAGTATGGCAGGGATTTATCGTCGGTGCAGACGTTGCTTACAAAACAGGAGACATTTGATGCAGGTTTGTTGTTTTAGGGGTGTGTTTGATTTTTGTTAATTTTGTGATTAAGGTCTCACGGCTTTTGAGCACGAGGGTATTCAGAATATCACCGCCCTTAAGGACCAATTGATCGCTTCGAATCACGATCAGAGTCCGGCGATTTTGCAACGTCACGCCGATGTGATCGCCAGATGGCAGAAATTGTTAGCTGATTCGGACGCCCGCAAACAGCGACTTCTCCACATGCAAGATCAATTTCGACAAATTGAAGATCTTTTCCTCACTTTTGCCAAGAGAGCATCAGCGTTCAATTCTTGGTTTGAAAATGCTGAGGAGGATTTAACCGATCCGGTGCGATGCAATTCGATTGAGGAGATCAGAGCGTTGAGAGAGGCTCATGCACAGTTCCAGGTATTTAGAATTTGAATAAAATTGGATTTTTTCTAATTACTGTAATTCAGGCGTCTCTGTCGAGCGCGCAAGCCGATTTTGAAGCTTTGGCAGCTTTGGATCAACAAATCAAGAGCTTCAATGTTGGACCGAATCCCTACACTTGGTTTAATATGGAAGCTTTGGAAGAAACTTGGAGGAACTTGCAGAAGATTATCGCCGAGAGGGATGTTGAGTTGAATAAGGAAGCTCAGAGACAGGAAGAAAATGATAAGTTGAGGAAGGAATTTGCTAAGCATGCAAATGCGTTCCATCAATGGTTGACAGAAACTCGGTAAGTAGTAGCGAAAACTGAACATTTTTTTGTTCGGTCATTCTCATGAAATGTTTAATTTCAGTTATCGAATTTTGGGTTGGGACGGGTAAATAGTGGTGTTAACTAACAGTTTCTTCTGTAATAATCGCATTAAAGAGTTATTGGTTTAATAACTAAAAAAATGCGTGTTGCTTTTGTCGATTAACAAATGTTGAAGTTGATTGTGTTACTAGTTCCAGTTATTTAAATTTATTTTTGCTTACTTGATTTCTTTAACAGTACATCGATGATGGAAGGCTCCGGTTCCTTGGAGCAACAACTCGAAGCCACCAAACGCAAAGCTGCCGAAGTGCGCGCCCGTCGCTCCGACTTGAAGAAAATCGAAGACCTGGGGGCCATTCTCGAGGAACATCTCATTCTTGATAACCGCTACACTGAGCATTCTACTGTCGGTTTAGCCCAACAGTGGGATCAACTAGACCAATTGGGCATGAGAATGCAGCATAACCTTGAACAACAGATACAAGCTCGCAACCAATCAGGTTCGTCCGTCCTTCGCCTCCATCAGGGCAAAAATAGTAATTGTTTGGTTTTTAGGTGTGAGTGAAGACGCTCTTAAAGAATTCTCGATGATGTTCAAACATTTCGACAAGGAGAAATCCGGAAAATTGAACCATCAAGAATTCAAGAGTTGTCTAAGAGCGCTGGGTTATGATCTTCCAATGGTGGAAGAAGGCCAACCTGATCCAGAATTCGACGCAATTTTGGATGTGGTGGATCCAAATCGAGACGGGCATGTGTCATTGCAGGAATATATGGCGTTTATGATCAGCAAGGAAACTGAGAATGTTCAAAGTTCGGAAGAAATTGAAAAGGCGTTCAGGGCTATCACTGCAGGTGATAGGCCATATGTTACACAAGAAGAGTTATATGCTGTAAGTTTTTTGTTGGTTGAGGGGAGTTAGCTCTGATTTGTTTGTTTGTTTCAGAATTTGACGAAGGAAATGGCCGATTATTGCGTAGCACGCATGAAACCTTACGTCGAACCCAAGACCGAACGACCAATCGCCGGGGCCTTGGATTATATAGAATTTACTCGCACTCTCTTCCAGAATTAATACACTCGCTTGTCGTTTTAATAGGGATAGGGCTCTGTTCTTGCAATATCACTAACTTCAGTTGCACTATTTTAAGCTTGATTTTATATTGTGTTTTGCATGACGTCACTTGTATGAGATGATTATATTTATCCTTTTCAAAATATATGGCTTATAGTTTTAATTGTTTTATTAAGTAAAAAAAATACATTTAATTAGGACCATGAGGATAATTTTCCGTGATCCTTTATCGTGATTCCTAAATTCTTTAAGTTATCCCTGACTTGATCACACAGTTCTAAAACATTTTTATCCTTATTTGAAATCCCCAACTGTCTTATCTCCTGTCTAAAATCATTTAAAATGTTCATTACATCAACATAATTACCACAAACACGTGACTGTTTTTTGTTTACATTTATTCCAAATATATTCAACGTATTGGAGACTAAATTGGAAGCACCTATGATAGCAACTGATTTAGTATTACACAAATCGGTGCGAGATGAATGTAAAATGCTATTCACAGCTGAAATTAGTTCATTTAAAGTTCTTATCACTTCAGATGTGTTAAAATCGTCTATTAATGCTCTTTGAATTTGATTTGCACTTTCATTAATCAACTTACTAACTGTATCATTATTTACTTCGGCTTTTAAATAACCATTTAAATAACTTTCGCAATTATCAATAAAATTGGTATAATTTTTTAGGACTTTAGAAGCAGTAATTAAAAATTCATTACTGTATTCCATTCTAGACCTATAGTGTGACATAAGACAGGCCATGCGAAAAACTGGTGCCGTGACATCTTCCAACATTGAGCTAATTGAAATCGTGTTATGTAACGATTTTGACATTTTTTGGCTGTCTTTTAGGTGTAAATGACCAGTGTGTAGCCAATAATTCACCCATTGGGGTTTACAGTGCCGTGCACAAGACTGGGCTTCTTCGTTTTCATGGTGTGGGAAACGTAGGTCAATCCCACCAGCGTGGACATCAATTTCTGGGCCTAAAAACGTGTTCATTTTATTGTGGATATTTTGAAGAAATTATACCTAAAATATGACTAGCTAGAGCTGAGCATTCAATATGCCAACCTGGGCGCCCCTTGCCCCAAGGACTGTCCCACGAAACCTCATTTGGTTTAGCCCCTTTCCACAACGCAAAATCCATCTTAGATTTTTTAAATTTGGAAGGTTCCGGAGCGTCTTCACCAATATTTTGTAATTTTGCATAATTATCATACGCCCCAACATCAAAATAAACAGAACTGTCTTCAGATTTGTATGCTTTTCCATTATCCACAAGCTTCCGGATAAAGTCTTTAATAATTTCCATATTTTCGGTGACTCGTAACACGCAATCTGGCCGATTCACCTCCAAAGCATCCAAGTCTTTCCAAAATTCGGTTTCAAACTTTTTGGCCAATTCGCTTGTTGAAACTTTAGAAGTGTTTGCCCTTGCAATGATTTTGTCATCAATGTCCGTTATATTCATCACGGTTACTACATTTAAATTGAAATAATGCCTCAAAATTCTTTGAATTATGTCCAGTTTTACAAAACAACTGGCATGACCGATGTGAGAAGAGTCGTAGACTGTGGGGCCACAGGTGTACCATGTCACCAAATTTTTATTTTTCACTATAAATGGGACTTTAGTTCTTGTTATGCAATTGAAAACTTTGATTCCAGTGTCGTGGCCGGCGGGTTTCACCCATCTGTGAGTTTTTCGAGTGAAAATTAACAAATTTCTTGTAAACATTTTGAGGTTATCGAACTGTCATTTCTACACGTGCTTGGAATCCAATCATATTTGAGGATTTCATGAACATTGGGTTTCAAGAGGGCGTGGTAAATAGTTTTTGACAATTGACATTTTGGAAATTGGGAAATTTTCAAAACGGTAAGTGAGGTTATTTCTAAAAAGTGAAAAGAGCAAAATCATTAAAATTAATTACTTTTTTGTGATATAACATGTTTTGTCGTGATTTTGGTTTTCTTAAATATTTTTTTTTCATTTGTATGGGTAAGTATGTTTTATTTTTTTTATTTCCGGAAAATACAAGTTTGGGGGAGATTGAGACACTATTGCGCCCAAAACAATAATAAATCATATTAAATTTTGTATAATTTATATTTTTATAAATTTACAGAAACATGTATTTAATATTTACACAGCAGATAGTATATAAACTAGAAAATTATTAAACGTTTAGATAAAAAAGGTAATAAAATTGTACTTTGTTTAAATGTGGGTGCAGGCGTGGTTAGCTGGTTTTCTTGCAGTTTTTGCTCCTGCGGTGCAGGTCCAATTTGTCCTTCCGACTGAAATGTTTGTTGCAGTTTTCGCAAGTAAAGGGCCGATCGCCGCTGTGGAGCCTCAAATGCCTCGCTAGATTCGACGTGTGTGCAAATTTTCTATCACAGACGGAGCAGGAAAACGGTTGTTCTCCCGTGTGCGTTCGCACGTGCTTATTCAAATCACCTTTATGACTAAAAGTTTTGTCACAATGTGTGCATTTCATGGTTTTTCTACTAGTTCTCGGAGATAAATCACGACTTGTGGATGGCAATGGTTCAGTCTTATCTTCGTTTTGTTCAATGACTTGGACTAAAAGGGGTAAACTGCCGAATTTTTTTTGGCAATTGGAGCATTTGCAGTTGTATTTATCGGTGTGGGGTTCGTTTGTCTCATCTTGGCTTTTATTTGGGTCCTGTTGCATTGTTGTTTCATGAGTCTTCTGGAGTTTGGCTTGGTTGAGGATGATTTCTTTGAGGAAATTTTTGAAATTGTAGAGTTTATGCATACAGAGGTCGCAGGCTTTGGCAGAGCGAGGGTGTAGAGAAATCTGAAAATAACTTTTTTTTCAGTTCAAGTTTTTGATTATTTCGCTGGTAACTCACACATTTGAAGACTTCTCTGACTAAGAGTTGCTCTGGTGTGTTGAGTGTTACTAACTTGTCGAAATTTCCACATATGCCACAAATTGTGGATTCACTCTCATATTCCATGATCTACAAAGTTTTAATGCAATTGGGAAAAGGTTTGAATGTTGAATGAGTAACAACTTTCCAGATTATTTTGCCGGGTTTTTTCATCTGATTTAACACATGCGCGCGAGAAATTGACGTCACGCAGGGGGAATTCCTACGATTTCAGTTTGTTGACGCCAACGCATCTAAAAGGTGAGAGGAATTCACCGGGAGTCCCCAATCCCCCACTCAAAAATGTTTCCTTTAGTTCCATTTCTGGTTTCCTGTTTTGAGTTATTTAAGTAAATTTCTTCGAAAATAATTGATGAGACTATCAACATAGTAGTCTTTATTTGAAAGTTTCGAAATTCACTTTATGATTCATCTCACTAATCCGGAATTACCTCAAAAAAAAAACAGCCGGAACCAGGAAGTCAGAGCTCCTCGGTATTCTGAGAAGCAAAAGTATTAATCAATTTTTATTGCGCTTGATGATTTTTAGCAAGAATACTGAATTAAAAATATTTCCCCATGAACATTTTTTAATTCTAACTATTGCACATTTGCCTAATTTGCATTGATTTTTTACTATTAATATTAATAATACAGTCTTTTTATAAAATAACTTGATATCGGAAACAAGTGTTCTGTCATTGTTGGTTGCCTATACAGTATGTCGGTGAATGAATAAGTTTCCTTCAGTACTTCTTTTTTTAATTTTTATGATTAAATTATTTAAGTAACATATACAATAATAACAAAACGAATTGCGGTGACCTCAATCTATACTATTTGACTAGCAAATAAAACCGTTACTCTTTCTTTAAGCTTTTTATTGTAACTTTTTTCAGGAATTCCCAAAACCTTTAGCATGGTATCAATCTTTTTAACTAAATATTTGTATAAAATTGTAACACTGGTATTATTAAAAGACGAGATGGTTTTATTTGATAAACTCTACTATTTTTTCCGGTGTTAAAAAATGTAAATAAACGCGTGTTTTATTATTATTTAAGTTTTTATTTTTTTACTTCTTGTACATTTAATCTTCTTTTTTTGGTTAAAATTTTTTTGTTTTATTTATTTTATCGCTTTAACAAAACTAAATTTCAACATGAAAAGATTAATTTTTTTAATTATTTTGAGGTATATACAGTATGTCCCCGGATTGAGTTTACAAAAAGAAAAAAAATTTTTTCTTTGATTTTACGCCAAAACTGCAAAGGAAAAACATTTTTTGCTCCACCTAAAACGAGCAAATCTGTACTTAAAACTTTACTATTCTTATTCAGTGAAAGGAAAAGTTATCTTTTCTCTTGATTTTTTTACTTTTTTGAATAATTTTTCTCTGCTCACATTGGGGGTTTTATTTATTTGACAACTATATGTCACTTTGACAATTAATTTATATTAATTAATGATAGTTTTTGTTAAAAATGACTTTGTTTTTCATCTTAAAGCTGTTTTTTGTGTTGCTATTTATCAAAATTGTGTTTTTCACAAACATTTTTGTTATTTAACATGCGAAAACTTAAGTCCAAAATTAAGAAAAAAATTAACTTTTCTTTCTACTAAATTAGAATAATGAAGTTTTAATTACAGATTTTCTCGTTTCAGGTAAAGCAAAAAAAGTTTTTCCTTTGCAGTTTTGGCGTAAAATCAAAGATAAATATTTTTTTCCTCTTGTAAACTCAATCCGGGGACATACTGTACATATTTTTATTAAATAATGTAATGAAATGTGTTCATGGGAATGTGAATGGAGAAAAAAGTCGATTTTTATTTGTTTATTTAATAATATCTTTTAGTCACTAATTTGTAAAAAAAACTTTCCTAGTTTATTTAAAAAAATGGTGTTTACGTAAAACAAATTATTATACTTATTTATACTTATTTATTTATATGTATACTTTATTTTATAATGTTTTTACAAATGTCTGTGGATCAAGTCAAAAACGCTAAACTTAAAAATGAGCATAAGAATTGATTAATAAGTTAATAACTATTTATTTAGAATTATTTACATCCTGGATTTCTAATACCAAAATCAACCAAACTAGCTATTAAAAATATTAAGGAAATGACACAGAGAATTTAGTTTTTTTATTGCAGAAAAAAATAGTGTTCTGTTTTTTTTATTTATTTATTTGTAAGTTATTTAACTTTTAATACAATTTTAATTTTTTTTAATCTTTTTGTATGAACTGCGCTAAAAATATTATTGCTTTAATAAAGTTTGAACTTTTTTTCAGAGTCATGAAATCTTATTTTTTTAAATATTCTGTTTTTTTTGTTGAAGAAATCAAATTATTTTTAAAAATTGTGCAAAATCGATCAACACAAGTTCACAAACATCAACATTTAAGAAGATTCATGGGTGTATGTACATAAATTTTTAAACATTTTATATTTTATTATACAAAAAAGATCAAAAAAAATTTTTCCAAGTCGCTGGTCACTTTGTATTTTATTTTTTTCGATGAATTTTAAAAAAATGCAAAAATATAAATAAAAATAATTGTCAATTAAATTTCAGATTGTTATAAAAGTGAAACACAAAAATATTTGAGTTGTCTGGTTTATTTATAAATTGTTTATTCTATTAAATGTTTTTTTTTTACTTTTACTTGAAAATATATGGTTCAATTTTCAATTGTTCTGCTACCTACCGTGGCTAGTCAAGCCTTGTTGATAGAGACTTTATTCGTTTATGTTAACTACAATTTATTTTGAAATAAAACTCACGTTTTTTTTATCTAAAATATTTAATAATTTAACAATTACATCCTAACAAGTATCACATTGGTTACCAAGTTCCGCACTAACTCAACATCAACCCCACAACATGAACAGTATCAATGGTACTAAAGTACCCAATTGAACCATTTTCACACTGCTACGATTTGAAGTCGGACAATAATCCTCGTATACTTTCGGTAATAATTTCTTCAAGATTGCCCCAAAAGTGCTTTCGCCAACGCAGTCCTCTGTACTATTTCCATTTGGGACATAATCACCACATTTGGGGAAGTCTTTGGGAATCGGCGGCATTTCATGATCTTTCCCGATCTTGAAAACAAGAGCCATACCGACCTCGACATGAAACTCGATATGGCAATGGAACAACCAATAACCCGGATTGGTTGCTTTAAATCTGATAATCGTAAATCCACCATCTGGGACAGTCACAGTGTCTTTGAGCGGAGCATCTACCAAATTTCTGTGGATTTGTCCTTTTTGATCCATTTTTAAAATTTCGGAAACGTTGACGTGTGACCCTAGACGTTCCATTGCCACTACACGGAAGGAATGACCGTGGAGGTGGAAAGGGTGATTAGCATCATAAGCGTACCCTTTATCAATGAGTACCATTTCAATAACTGTGCCTAAAGGAATCTGCAGAAAATACAAAGTTGGTTACAAATTTTCAGGATCACAAACTCACATTAACCACGTGGGTACATTCACAATAGTTATTTTGACAATCGTTGACCGAAGATTCGTTACAAAACATGTTTTCATCGATTTGGTGTCTCTGTGATAACAAGGGGAACGATTGGAGTTTCATCGAAATGTAATTTAATTGTGGTGTCAAAATTTGTACACTTGCATTTGTGACTAAAACCGAGGAATATTAATTATTGGCACACTCGACTGGACTGGATTACCATTATGGAAACCATAGTGTGGGTCTTTGTGGTATACAGGATGATTCATTTTGTAAAAATCGTAAGAAACGTAATACTGGAAATCGGCTTTTTCCTTGAGAGTGTCGTCCCACTCATCCAATGAGTGAAGCTGAGGTAGTGTAACAAAACTTGAATTGTCGGCTTCTGTACCTCTATTAAGGGGATTCAATTGCTGGAAAAATAATTATAGGGGGTTCACAGAGAGATCAGAGCTCTTACTTTGCCCTCTTTTTTCGAATTGTCATAAGTAGGTTCATATGAGGGATAAGAGGCTTCCGCACCTTTATATTCGAGTACTGCTACTTGATAAGCTTTAGTGAAACGTTCGTCACAGTCCATTAAACCTTTAAAGTGCATCCAATACACGTCTTTTGCTCGATCAGCATTCACGATAAAATCAAACCTTTCGCCAGCATAAGTCACCAAACTTTTGACTAGAAGACAAAAATGTGTTACTTAGTAAAGTACACCCGGAGAAAAAACTATTCACCAAACTTTCTGCTCACACTGCGCTTTGTTGCAATAGTGTTTCCGACTAACTAGTTGGGGAGCAGGTAATATTTCGGTGATTATAATAATTTGCAAAATGACACTAAGCAAATTTTAGAGAAAATAATGCATGCCCATGTATTTCATTACCTTAATAAAATTTTTGTGATTTGCTTTTAATTTTATTAACAAATAGCTAGTTTCTTCCGTTTTTTATATTTATTTTTATAACTTCTAGACAAAGCAAAAAACCCAAAGTGGTAAATTTAATGCCATAATAATAATAATAACTAATATTATACAGTATGTCCCCGGATTTTTTTATTTTACGCCAACACTGCAAAAGAAAAACATTTTTTGCTTCACCTGAAACCAGTAAGTCTGTAATGTTTAAAGTTCATTATTTTCACTCAGTGGAAAGAAAATTAAATTTTTCTCTTGATTTTGAGCTTGTAATAACTAATAACACTATAGTCTAAAAACAATACGACCTTTAATCGAATTATTATTTTTATGTTAACTTACCTTTAATTAAACAAAAATAATTGTTAAATTTTTCTATCACCTCACATTTTTTTTGTTACAGACGTATATATACCAAGTGAATAAAAAGTATGGAACCAAACGTGTTTTGCTTAAACTATTAATTTTTTGAAAAAACTAATTGATGAGTGATAAAGTACTATAAAAATGTGATGATTTAACAAGAATAAAATTTTTCGAAATTTGCTTCTACAAAAAAAATATTTTTTTAAATGGCAACCCACTATAAAATCATTTTTTTCAAAAAAGTTATACTCTAAGGATTACAACTACCTGCTTTATATTTAATTTTTTCAAAAAAAATTTTTCACATAAATTGCAATTTTGACAAAAAAAATCGCATAACTCAAAAACAAAACAAAATTTTGTTCTGAAAATACGATCAGATTTTTTATATTACTTTAATTTATATTAATTATTATTTTCTTTATTTGTTTTTATTATTTGTTTCCTTTTGACTGGCTATTATAAAATGTATTATTAAGTTCAGAATTTTGATTATAAAGAAATAACTTGATAGAAATTGGCAAAATTCACAGTTTATTAAAAAATTCTACAATCTTAATTTTTGAAATCTGTAGATAAAGAACCTTTAAAGTCAAGTCAAGCTAAAAATGTTTTTCCTTTGCAGTTTTGGAGTAAAATCAAAGGCAAATTTTTTTTCCTCTTGTAAACCCAATCCGGGAACATACTGTATACTTGCAAAATACATTTCTTAAATAAATTTATGTATTTGTAATTTGATAATTTGAGCAAGCTTGTTTATTTCAATCACAATTTAATGTATACGTTATAATCTATGCTCATTGAAGTAATTTTCACAAAAAGACATTTTTCGGGTCTGGACCAACTTCCTAAATAAGGGTTTTTCGACATATTACCTGCTCTCCAACTAGTTAGTCTGAAATGCTATTGCGACAAAGCGCAGCCCGAGTACAAAGTTGTGGGTAATTTTTTCCCCGGGTGTACCATCAGAGAAAAGTACCTTCAGTCGCATTAAAATCACTACCATCGGTACTAATCACATTTAGAGTGTGATTATCGATGGACACTTCTATGGGACAGTTCAAGAACCCAGCATTGATCACACGGAACCGATATCTGTAACCCTATATTTTTTGTTAGGGAAAAACCCACAACACTTAAACACACCTGTTCAACTGTAAACCGCGCCGTTGGTACAAAAACGGTACTGTTATCTTCACTAACAAAATGTTTAAATCTTCCAAACCCATTAACAAGAATGGTGTCGGGTTTGTTATCACCGTCGTTGTGAATATGGGACATGAATTTATCAGTACCATCCTCTTTGGTCCAGTCTAAAATCGTTATAACATGACTTGACAAGTCATAATCGTAAAGATTCGCATGTGGGTTTTCTTCTTCGGGTACTCGCACAATAAAAGGACCAAAAGTACCATCGGATCTTTGGAAACCTGTAACGGATTTATAAAAGTGCGACTCAAACCCGGATTATGGGTGGTACCTGAATGAGAGTGCCAGAAGTGAGTTCCGGAATTGTGGACGTTGAAGTGGTACCGGAAGGTCATTCCTGGGTGGATGGGACATTGGGTTACGAATGGTACTCCGTCCATGTAAGGGCTGTTTTTTTGATGGTGGCCGTGCCAGTGGATCGTGGTACTATCACTCGATAAGCGGTTTACTACGTCAATTATCACTTCGTCGCCTAGACAAACCTGAATAAAATTTGTAGCAGTGTTTTTGTTTTTGCAAAATTTGGTACCTCAATGCTAGGTCCTGGCATTTTCCGGTTTACGACAATAATAGATCGTTTATTGCCATCACCCGGTATACAGTCCTCCCGATAACAGTCTTGGGTGTTGTATGGACAGTCGTAACAAGCTTTGCTCAATGTGTGGTACCATTCCAATAGGAAAGTGTACCTGCATGTCATTGGTACCGAATCTTTGACACATTTTCTTGCGCAAGGGTTATCTTCGTTTAGTAAAACGTACTCGACCAGGTCAGTTACGTTGTTGTTGCCTATAATTGTGTAATGCATTTTTTTTTTATTTTACTAGACAGACTTTAATCCAAGTAATAAAAAGATTATTCTGTGACGCTACTTACCATTATACATCACTTTGTAAGAGAGATTTCGTTCAAAGCAAATAATGATCATAAGGAGTGTAATTTTTTTCATTATTCACTGTGCATTTATCTGGAAAGAAAACTCGAGGTTAACGACAATGGCATAATAATGACTTGTTGCAACAAGGACTAAATTACAATTTTCGAATACTTTATTATGAGCCGGTTATCATATTATTAAAGATGTCTAAAGAGAATGGAACATTTATATGAATTTTAAGAATTACAATGGTTAATTAAGATAAAAACAGTAATTATAATATTTTAATTATTTTGACTAAAACGTACCACTTGTTTGTCACGTAACAAAAAAGTTGTGTTATTTGTTGTGACTCAAAACCACTTTTATTCTGGTCTAAATTTATCTATTGATTAAGGGATTTATTAAAAATCTATTATACATGTATTATAAAAAATAAAATTTACGATATTAGGATTTTTACTGATAATATTTCATGTTATTTCATTATTGTAGTATTACAGTGTGCTACTTATCATAATTTTATTATAATAATTATTTCATATTTGATGCAATCTTTTGATTTAAAGATCATTCAGTGCTAGACAATGAAGTCACAATCGTTCCTGGAGCCTTGAAACAAGTTTCTCTTCAGATTTTTAAGATGATTGGTTATAAGACAATTTTGTAAAAATAATACTTGTTTCAGTTACACAATTTTACAACAAAAACAAGAAACGTACTTTGAGAATGAAGATTTCACCTTCTAGAATCTCCCAGAGGTTTAAAATTGATTTTCTGATAACACATTTCACCAAATTTTTAACTTTGAAAACATGATTAATTAATTTTGTGTCATTAGTAACACTACTGAACTTTGACTGAAATAAAAGGGAATCTTCTAGTAAAAACAAATAGAGGATTTAATTCTTCATTATTTATGCTTTAATAAGCTGCACATAAGCTGCTAAGAAATTTACAATGCAAAAGCAGTAAAATGTAAGTAAATTTTTTCAAGGTTGTATTTACTTTTATAGGATTGTAAAAATGATAGTTGAGTGGAAAATGAAAAGAACTCAAAAAAAAGTAGGAAGAAAAGGAAAAATTATTTTACTTGGGAAGAGAAAAAGTAAAAAATCAAACCATGTTTAGTACTTATTTATGTAATCAGATGATAAGACTGGATCTCTTAGAATGGAAATTTATTGATTTTTTCGTTTTATTTATTTTTTCATGGTTGATGTGATTTAGGAAATATTAAAAATTAATTTTAGAAGCGGTTTAGTTTTTCTTGAGGCTTTCATTTCATTAATAGATTTATAGAATAAATGAATTAATTAAATGTTTTTTAATCAATAAATCATTATTATATGTTGTATTGAATGTGTTCTTATTTACTGTATTTGTTTTTAGTGTATTTTCATGTTTTTTGATAAAGCAAATAAATCTGTTGTGAAACCGGAAAAAAGTATGAAGGTTTTAGCACAGGTAAATTCTACCGTAAAAAATACAAATAAAACCTTGTTGAAGTACTTGTTCATCAGTGAGTAAATCCTTGAGGTTCTTTAAAATAATTATATTGACAATGAAGTTAATTAAAGTTTTTACAAAAAAAATGTATAAGATGAGAGACATAGTCGATTTGTTTTGTTTAAAATAAGTATGAAAAAATAAAAAAATAAAATATTAAAATAAACAAATAATCTTACTTTACAAATAAAAAATAAAAATATTTTGTGTTGGTGAATCTTGATCACAAAAACAATCACAAAATCACTTCGGTCTCGAGTGCTATGTTTGATTGCAATATAATCAAAATTCGAAATGTGACTACCATCCGTTTAAGAAAATTACCAAGATATTCATTGGGAACAATAAAATCCTTATGGTAGGGGAAGCACGTATACCATATGAAAAAATACCCGGATTTTTACGTCCGGAGCGCAGGATGGGAGAACCCACGAGATTAGCGATGCTTTAAAAATAAATAGACTTGAGGAAGAGACATATAAATGTGCATCGGTGGTCAATCACCTGCTCGGTTTTTGTTTATTAACTACTCCACATTTAGATCATGCAAATCGACGAAATCTAGGTTAAAATTGTTATATTACAGGATTTTGTAGCAGTGAAAGCAAGGTCGTCACGTAATGTTTGTATCTGGATGTGCACCTGAAAACATTTGTCACGGCTTCTTGTTTGCTCTTGATTAAGGGAAGTCTGGGATTTGTGCAAACATAATCCTGACTTAAGATAAATAATTGGTATCTTTCAAATGAATAAAAAGCACTAAGGGTTTATTAGGATAAATATTTTTTAAGGCGTGAGATATCGTATTCAAACTAATCAAAATTTCTAAATTGTCTTCATTCAAGATCAATACGCTCCTCAGGCGATGAATATTTATTTACCAATGACAAAATGTTATGCAATTAGAGTTGTCCACATCGAATGAACGTTATGATTATTTTACAACAAAATATCCAAGTATGGAAAGATTTTTTAGTTTTGCAATGTTTATTTGGTACACACCTGTAGAACTGTTCATATTTAATCATAAAAAAATTAACGAACTTTCACACTTTCTGTAATTATTTGGTAATTTTTTTAACCAAATTAAACAATTTCTTAATTTTTTAAATTGGCACGAACGCTGGGAAAATGCCTATAAATAGCTCGGCATTTCCTAGTTGATTGGTAGCACAATTTGTGGTCTAGGGGAATTTTAAAGAGATTAAAGTCGTTCTATTACAATAAAATATTTCTGAACGCTTCAAGTAAAAGGTAAACTTTTTCATATGATCAACTTGTTCACGTAATAGCAGTAATAAACTGAATGATGTGTCGTCATCTTTACGATTTGTGACCTTATTTAATAAAGGAAATGATGTATTTAGCAGATTGCAACGTACAATTTTTTCTCATACAAAAAGGACAATGAGATTTTTAATAATGTATTATGAAATTTTGGTGTACACCCGTATGTTATCTGATTTCAATCAATCTAATTGAAATTGTTTTTTTCTGAGCTTAGATGGGATTAACTGTTTACTTTTTATTTATGCTCTTGTTTTAGGATTATTTTTTAAATTATAAAATTAATTTTCAAGGAAAATTTATAATTTATGATTTTATTATTTTATTTTTGTCACTTTATTGATGTTTTCAAGCTTTGTTACTCTGTATTATTTGTTTATTTAATATAACAATATTTAAGCAAGATAAGTGGATACCTATCTTAGTTTTTTTGTTAAATGTACTCCCATTAATCGAGTTTATATAACTTTTAAAGTAAAAGTTGTTCAAAATGACCTCTATCATTTGCTTCCTTATATTGAAAAATATTCTGGAATCATTTCTCGTTGAGGATTAAAGTCACAAATTGGTTTTTATAAAGATTACTATTAGTGGATTATTTTACCTAAACCTATGGTTGAGCCATTTTAAGGAAACTTTTTTAGGTAAATTTATTGGCTTTTGGACGCAAAAAGTTACGGATTAACTTTTAGATTTATTAGTTGATTAATTAAGTTATTTATATGTTTAATTATTTAATTAATTTTTGTTGTTATTAATAATTTTTTATTTTATTTTTTATTATTATTTAGTAACTTTTTGTAAATTTAATAAGAGACATTGTGGTTACATTTCCTTTCATTTTACGCTGGAATGGTTGGGTTTAACCATGTTTACTAATTTATTAGCGCTTGTTATTTACAACAGGAGATAAATGCGACTTATTGAATTTTAGTTAACAAGAGGAAATCAGTTAATTTTTTTTGTAGAATTTTAAACTATTTGGCTTGCTTTGAAGTTACGTCACAATAAAGACAATGGAAATAAATACTAAATTATTAAAGAAAGACAAACAAGGAGGGTGAAATAGTAACTTACCTCGAACCCAACATCTTTAATTCTAAATTAATTAATCAACTGCTATGGTTTTTTTATAGTACTAGCACTAAACAGTTTAAAATGAGTAGTTACATTTTTTTAACGATTTTTGTGCAAGCACATATTTATCACAACTACTTAAATGTGATATGACCATACGTATTTGTTGCAAATTATTAATTTATGCTACTTGCTGATAAAAAGCTTCATGGGTTATACACATTTTTATATTTATGTTATATTTACGCTTAAAAATATTTATTTGATTAAAAAACTGTTTTTGGGGAATTAAGTACAGTTGCGGAATTAAAATCTCGGGCAGAATTTTTCTGTCACTTTGAAAAATTCACTGTAAACTATCTTTTACTGTCATCATGACTGACATTTGACAATTAAACGTTTTTTTTTTGTTGTTAATTAAACAGTTTGTCTGTCTTAGGAAATTTATTAGCTCAACAAGTGTAATTAAATCATCGTTTTGATCTGCTGCCTACTCGTTATTATGCTACAAATCACAATTTTTTGAAAATAAATAAGTCAAAATGACAAACATGACAAGAGTAAAAACTGAGGTTATTAAAGTAAATGTTGTTTTAGAGATTAAATTATGAAAATGACAATACTGCCCGAAATTTTAATTAGGCAACTGTACATACACTGGCGGACACGGAATTTTGTTCATCAAATTTATGACAGTTCAGAAAATGTCAATGTAAGCCACGCTTTATTGTCATTATGATTGACGTTTGAAACTAAAATTTGAAAGTTTTAGTTGAAATTTATTTTTGACGTCGATTTTCCGAAACAATAATGCTAGCAATACGTGTTTTTATATAAGATCAATAAATTATTTTGATTTGTTGTCATTTTTTCTCTCGCTCTCAGGATAAAAATTACAAAAACCGAAAGTGAGGTTAGTTGCTTAAGGCCTGTTTTACATTTTTATGTCAGTCGAATGACAAATCGTCTAAAATTCTGTGTCCGCCAGTGTAAAGAAAATATAATTCAAAAAATATTTTTAATTGAAGGAACAAATAAAAGACCAGGTATTGTAAAAAATATTGCTGTAAATTATTTTAATCAATTTTTACGTTTTTCTAATTGTATGTATTTATATTTATAAAATTAAATTTTGCCCGACCCCATAGCAAAAAATACTAAACTTTACATAACGTGTTTTAAACTATTTCTTATCTTTATGCAACATAATTTTTCTATTGTATAATGTGTTGCATAAGCAACCAAGGTTGTCTAGCACGTGGTTTTGAAGTTTCAAGGAAAATGTCAAATAAGCCGTTAGTGTCATTTTTATCATCCCTTTTTGTAAGCAAATTTGGGTCTTTTTTGTCATAAATTTTGAATGATAACAATTAGTGACAATTTGTAATCAATCAGAAATTAAAAATGTCACTAGAGGACCCGCAATATCACATAACTCCAGTGCAACAAGCGGCCGCTTCATGTACGGGGGCTATTCTAACCTCGCTTTTAGGTAATCTTATAAATGTAACAACATTTTACTAAATTAAATTATAGTCACTCCGTTAGATGTAGTCAAAATTAGATTACAAGCTCAACAAAGACTAGCTCAAAAAGTGCCCAATAAATGTTTTTTATACTGTAATGGACTTATGGATCATTTTTGTGGTTGTGGTCCAAATAATGGACAGAAACATTGGTTTCAAAGGCCTGGGCACTTTAATGGAACTATAGTGAGTGTGATTTTCGTAAAATAGTTTCATTGTATGTGTAACGTGGGTTATTTAAGGACGCTTTTGTTAAAATTACTAGGAATGAAGGAATTTATTCATTGTGGAGTGGATTAGGACCTACTTTAGTTTTAGCACTTCCAACTACAATTTTATACTTTGTCAGTTATGAACAGTTAAGATTAAGACTGAAGGCAATGTACAATAGGAATCAACAGGAGGGACAAGAGAGAAAACAACCTTATTGGATTCCATTAATCTCAGGGGCAACAGCAAGAGTATTTGCTGTATCTGTTGTAAGTCCTTTAGAATTGATTAGAACTAAAATGCAATCAAGGAAAATATCATATGCAGGTAAATTTTGAAGAGAAAATGAAATCAAAATAAAACACTAAATTTTAGAAATAAACGAATCTTTAAAATTGCTAATAAAACAAGATGGAATTAAAGGATTATGGAAAGGACTTCTTCCAACTTTGGGAAGGGATGTTCCCTTCTCTGCTATATACTGGATGAATTATGAAACGATCAAAGGCTCTTTTGGTTCAGAAACGCCAACATTTGGAGTCAGTTTTTTTGCTGGGGCCGTATCAGGAGGAGTAAGGCTCATAAAGAAGATATTTTTATGGCTATAATAATTATTTTACAGATTGCTGCTTTTGCTACAGTTCCGTTTGACGTTGTTAAAACACACCAACAAATAGAAATTGGTGAAAAAACTCTTTACACAGATCAACCACAAAAAACAAAACGGACGCTACAAATAATACGAGAAATTTACAAACATAGCGGTATAAAAGGGCTGTACGCCGGCTTAGTTCCACGACTTGTCAAGGTTGCCCCAGCGTGTGCTATTATGATATCTTCATTTGAATATGGAAAGGTATTTTTCTACAGGTTAGCCAACCCAGATTCAGATATCTTAATTTCCAGCAAAGAAAATTTACAATCAAATAAATAATAATAGATTTTTAAGGGCAATTGAAAGGGAATATTATTACAGTTTCATTTGTAAATGTACCACATATCGTGTCAGTACATGTGATAATATTCCTAAAATAATTAGAGTAAAATATGCATTCTTTTACAATAATACTTATTTTAAGTGGCAAAAAGTACAACATTGTCTATTCAGGTGTCATATTGTGATCACTGTTGTCTCGTATAAAGTCTGAAAGCTTTTAAAGAGGAAAAAGTTTAACTACATCTCTTTACTTACTTCAGATTTTCTCGTTTACAAATCGGTTTTTATCATTATTTATCATTTATCATTATTGCGAATGTTTAGTGATATTCACAATCAATGTCGTTATCGTAATTTTATGTTACATTTCTGTGATTATTCATTTTTATTAGTGATGTATTATGTAACATTGTTTTTGAAAACTTTGTAGATACAGTTTTTATCCTATAAGTATCAAAATAAGGTTCATGATTTTTGTTTTTAACAGATATAATGAATATATGTATCATCATGGTGCGAGTCTACAGGAAGTTAGCGATTTTTATGCTGAAGAATATTTTCCACCTGAACATAATTAATTTGACTTTTATTACTTTTAGAAATAAAATATTAAGTTGTAGTCAAAGAAGTGACAAACCGCTGTAAATAAATTGTAATTGTTTTAGAATAGTTCTTTTATTTGGTTGAGCGTTGTCGGAAGTTATTTTCTATTTTTTTAGTCATGAGTTTATGTAAACATAAATAAAATAGTCGTCGGTCACTAACCCAATGCTTTGCGTTCAGTATTTGGGATAAAAACAGAAAGTATGGTACAACCTAAAAAATCATGATTAAACACGTTACTTATCATTTGGATTTAATTACCTATGACAAAACCTGCAAGTGTGAAAAAAGTTGGTGCACAACCTGCTTGAATGAGTATTGGTAATATTAAATTGCCTAAGACGGAACCTATTCTTCCAAACATGAAAGCCAAAGAAAGTGCTGAACCCCTGAAATCATAACTTTAATAACTATTGAAATAAAATGTTTAAACCTTAAAGAAGTTGGGAATAAATCAACTGTTGCTGAAATGACTGTATCTAGCGAGATACCTATACACATCAAATACACACAGATAAGACCCAAGGCTGTGGAACTGTTAGGAGCAAAGTAGATAGAAACTGCTGTGACTGCACCAAGGAGTCCTAGAGCAACTGAAATAATACTATGAAGATTTTTTTCTTGGAAACTAATAATTACCTACTTAAAATTTTCTTTTTTCCAAGTTTATTAATGATAAGCGCTACAATAGCACAACCGATAATTGCGCATAAGCCCACATAGACTGAATTTATGTAAACTGAAGAGTTATCAAAGTTCTGCAAAGATACTTAAAGTGATGTTTTCCTTTTTTTTGTCTTTACCATTGAACAGGTATCAGCTTCCGCGTCAGTGGTGGGTTGTATTCTACTCAACATTTGACAAAAAGAGATTGATTTGTTGTTGTCTTGTTCATAGTCATTAATTATTTGAAAAATTTCGGGCAACCACAAGCGTAACGAATTTATACTAAAATAAAATGTGAAACAAAAAGAAGAATCATAAATTTAGCACACCTCATCATCAAGAAAAACTGCAATAAACAAACTATAGTTAAACTTGCGGCATATTTTAACGAAAATAAGGGCGATATTTGTTGCCAGGCCTCTTTAACACTGTGCTTTTTTTGAAAAATTTGTTTATCGTCTATAAGAGATTTAAACGGAAATTTTTCTTTTGATTGCCTCTTATTCAATTTAAAAATCTTCTGATAAACTTTTAAAGCTTCTGCGTTATTTCCCTTTGACATTAAATATTTAGGGCTTTCAGGCATTAGAAAAAATGAAACTCCAGCTATTACAGTGGGAAACGTTGAAACAAGTAGAAACAGATTCCAGGCGTGAAATTCTAAAATTTTTGGTCAATATTTTGGAAATTTTAGATCTAAGGACTATACCAAAGCCGTCGATAAGGCCAAAATTGATGTTAAGAGGCAGAAATAACCACGCTAAAAGTGGCAAACAGACGTTTGAAATACTAAACATAAGTCCGATGACTACAGGCACGCTCGCTCTATATTGTGTGCCATGAAACTCGGATAAATAGGTGGTTAAGGCCATTGAGTAACCATTTACCCTAAAAATTGGAATTAATTGTGATTTTAACAGAATTTCGGGTTTTACGTAAACCCTCCCAGAAATTTTGACACAAGCAAGACATAAAAATTGGGCGCAAAAGTCGTCATTAAGACGAAAAAAGCTCCTATTAGATGTGTGAAGACCAATATTTTGCGACGGCCGAAAACGTCAATAAAGGAGCCCCACATGAAACAACTGATTATCATTCCTGTAATATATAATGTAGTGGCAAAATTTGTCGTTTTTCGTGGTTGCAAACCTGTGTATACTATGGCATTTAGCAGTCCTCTGGCTTCTAGGGATATGTCTAAATCGCATCGTGCAACAGGAAACACAAAAGATAGGGACGATGTTTCCAGCTGTGAAGCTAATATGGAGGGAGTTGAAACTACCACTAAAATTAAGTTAAAAATGCCGAAACCGGTTGCCGATATTGCTGTCTCGAAATCCGCATTTTGCTCTGAAGCAACAAGTGGTAACATTAATTTCAAATGAGAGATTTTTAAATTTATATTTACCCTTATAAGTCGATTTATTATTCTCGTCGTTAACAGAAGTGGTACTTGTCGTTGAAAGTGTTTCATCTTTCGACATTGTCTAATTTTTTTCAGAGAATTAGAGTTAGCAAAGTGCACGTCTTTTTATAATATACCTTGTGTAATCATAATTTAAGTACAAGTTAATTCTATTGTCTGTGACGACAAAATATTACAAATCTAAAAAAACTGTCTTGTTGGTATAAATTTAAATTCTTAAGTAAACACAACTAAGATTTTTGTTAATAGACATTGGCATTGAAACAGTTGCATTAAATGGGAGACTGATGGAATAAATTTGAGTTTGTGTGAATTCAAAAATTGCAATTTTTACTTTCATTACAAACGGTCGGTAACAATGGATTTATTTTTAATACATTTTTTAGAGGTGTCTTGGAAAATATCCTACACTATACCAGAGAGCTGAGGCGTCATTTTGTATACACCCTGTATACTATTTGTAAATACAGAAAAGTAAAAAGTAAAAGTAAATACAGAATTTTAAAAAAAGTGGTCACTTTTGTGATGTTTGCGGATAAAAATTATTTGTTGGTTTGTTAATTATTTTTCGTGATACTTGATTGTTATTTGATCAAATCTGTACCTATCTTTATGATTGTTTACTTCTTATGATAACGATAACAGCTTAAAAAATTCATCCCGAAAATTTTCAGGTACAGGATAAATAGAAAAAAGTGGACTACTTAAAGATAACATGATGACTCCTCTTGCTTGTTTTTTGTTATATTTTTATTTCTGTTTCTTATTTACAGTCATGACATTGGGTAAACATAAATACGAGTACTTACAACTATTAAATTAAAATATAATTTCTAACCTAGTGCTTTATGTTCAGTATTTGGTATAAAGACAGACAGTATGGTGCAACCTGGAAAGAAATTAATAAATGCGTTACTTATTATTTTTACATCGAGTATTATATCAATTACCCATGACAAAACTTCCAAGAGTGAAAAAAGTTGACGCACAACCTGCTTGAATAAGTATAGGAAATATTAAATTGCCCAGTACGGAACCTATCCTACCAAACATGAAAGATAGAGACATCGCTGAACCTCTGAAATATGTTTTTTTAATTTTTTTTAGTAACGTAATAAAATTAATGTTCGAACCTTAAAGAAGTTGGAAATAAATCAACAGTTGCTGCGATGACTGTATCTACCGAGATACCTGTTGACATTAAGTGAACACAAATAAGACCCAAAGCTGTCGAGCTGTTAGGCGCAAAGTAGATAGAAGCTACTGTTACTGCCCCTAGAAGTCCTAGAGAAACTGAAATAAAAATAGTTAAGACATTTTTTGGAAAACACTTGAGCACATACTTAGAATTTTTTTCTTTCCAATTTTATTAACGAAAAGTGCTACAATAATGTAACCAGTAATTGCACACAAAGCAACATAGACTGAGTTTATATAAACTGAAGAGTTATCAAAGTTCTGAAAATGAGAATGTTATTTAAGTCGTGATTGTGGTTATTTTACCATTGAACAGGTATCAGTTTCCGCATCAGCAGTGGGCTTTATTCTGTTCAACATTTGACAAAAGGAAATTGGTTTATTGTTGTCTTGTTCATAATCGTTTACTATTTGGAAAATTTCTGGCAACCACAAGCGTAACGAATTAATACTGAAATAAAATTTAAAACAAAAAGATTAACTTTTTTTAACATACCTCATCATGAAGAGGAATTGCAATAAACAGACTAGAGTCAAACTTCCGGCATATTTTAATGAAAATAGGGGCGAAATTTGTTGCCACGCGTCCTTAATACTGTATTTCTTTTGATAAATTTGTTTGTCATCCATCAGGGATTTGACCGGATATTCTTCTACCGGTTGTTTTTTATTCATTTTAAAAATCTTCTCAAACACTTTTAAAGCTTCTCCGTTATTGCCTTTCGACATTAAATACTTTGGGCTTTCAGGCATTAGAAAAAATGAAATTCCGGCTATTAAAGTCGGAAACATTGTAATGCATAAAAACAGATTCCATGCATGAAATTCTAAAATTTTTGGTTAATATTCCGGAAAGTTTAGTCTTAACGATTCTACCAAAGCCTCCGAAAAGGCCAAAATTAATATTAAGAGGTAAAATCGACCACGCTAAAAGTGGTAAACCGACATTTGCAACACTATAAATAAGCCCGATTGTTAAAGGCACACGAGCTCGGTATTGTGTGCCATGAAATTCAGATAAGTATGGAGTTAGGGCCATCGAAATTCCATTTACACTAAAAATATTTGAATCAATTTTGGTTTTGCCACAATTTGAGATTTTACATAAATCCTCCCAGAAACTTTGAAGCTATCAAGACGTAAAGATTTGGTGCAAATGTTGTCATTAAAACGAAAAAAGCTTCTACTAAATGTGTGAAAACCAAGACTTTACGACGGCCAAAAACGTCCACAAGTGAGCCCCACATGAAACAACTAGTTATCATTCCTATAAAACAATTTTGAAACCAATTTCAGTGATTTTAGACGTGCAAACCTGTGTATATTGTTGCATTGACCAATCCTCTGGCTTCTAGAGATATGTTTAAATCGCATCTAGCAACAGGAAACACAAAAGATAAGGACGATGTTTCGAGTTGTGAAGATAATACAGAGGGAGTTGCAACTGCTATTAGAATTAAGTTGAAAAGGCCAAAACCGGTTACTGATATTGCAGTTTCGAAATCTGCATTTTTCACTGAAACAGTAATGTGAAATAACAAAATTAAGTACATAGTTAGATTTACCTATGGGAGTTGGTTTATTCTCGTCTTTAACAGAAGTCGTGCTTGCTGTTGAAAGTGTTTCACTTTTCGTCATCTTTCTAAGTTTTTTCAATATCAAACAACTGAATACTGGAAATAGTTAAGTGCACATCTTTTTTATAATCTAATTTGTGTAATCAGAATTTACCAGTTGCTTGTCCATGACGACAAAATTTAGTAAATCTGGAAAAACTTTCTTTGTTTTGAGGAATGATTTCTATATTAATAATATAATTTTAAGCTGTTAAGTAAACACAACTAAGATTTTGTTATTTTTGTAAAACAAGAAACAATGGGTGTTTTTTTTCATCGCTGATTTACGTTAGCAGAGAGAGACTTAGAAAATAATCAGGCTATTGTGTTTATTTAAAACGTCACAGTCACATGGAAAAGGACTTATTGGTGAAATAATAGTAAATTCATAAAAATGGAAATTGTATGTTTTTTCTCTTTAGAGATTTATTAGAGAATTTATCTAGAAGAACGTACACTACTACGATCGAAAGCCAATTTAATGTTGATTTTTTTATTATTTGTAAATATATAACAAAGTAACAGTATTGCTAAAAATATTTGGTACCACAGTTTGTCTTAAAAATCCTACTGTAGAGCTTTCAGGTCTGTATTTGGTAAAAGACACGCTAAGAAAGCACAGCCTGAAAAATCCCACATTTAGTCGTGCTTTTTTATATTCTTGTAGCACTTACCAACAATTGCAGCTCCCACAGTAAAGAAAGGTGGTGCACACCCTAATTGTAGCAAAATTGGAAATACTAAGTTACCCATCATTGCACCTGATCGCCCAATCATCATTGTTAAAGAAATGGTCATTGTTCGTAAAGTCGTTGGAAAAAGATCAACAACMACGGCAAGGACCACATTTATATTAATACTGCCCAGGGAGACAAAAAGACACGATAAAATTATTGTTGATAGTGAATTTGGTGCAAAGTACAAACACATCGCACTTGTACCAGAAAATATTCCTAATATATCTAATAAAAAATAAATTAATTAAAATCAATAGCGTGAGGGCAACATACTTAAAAGTCTCTTCTTGCCTAAAGCATTGATTAACATTCCGGCAATAATGTAACCACCAATTGAGACAACTGCCACAATAATTGAGTTGATGTAAACAGACGAGTTGTTTAAATTCTTGAAACAAAATATGTGTTTTGAATAAAAGTTTTTGGTTACTTACCACTTCGCATTCCTGTGATTTATTGTTAGGCCTGATTTGCTCAATCATTGTACAAAGATCAGTAGTCGATCCGTTGTTGTAATATTGATAATCATTGATCGCTTGGAAGATTTGTGGAAGCCAAAGGCGTAAAGTATTAAGACTCATCATTGTCAACATTTGTAACAAACAAACTAAAAGGATTTTTCCTAAATGAGGAGGAAAAAACAGAGGAGTCATCTGTTGCCACCCTTCTTTCATCGCTTGTAGTTTCGTCCTGTTGGCAGTGATTCTGCCCCCGTGTTTTGAGTCATTATTCAGTTTTGTTTCCTCGACTAATTCTTTGATCTGTAATAAAACCAAATTCACACACATGTGCTCACATTAATAATTAGCTCACCGGAAACGTTTCAGGCGCATTTCCTGTATTAAAACAGTAAACTTTCCTGAAAACTTCTAAAGCCTTTTCATTCCGTCCCATTGTCATCAAAAATTTTGGACTTTCCGGCATAAAAATAAAAGCAATCGAACTGATCAAAGCCGGAAAGGCACATAAGCACAAATACAAATTCCACGAATGGAATTCTAAAAACAGAATTATAAAATTTGGATTTTTGCCTTGTGTTCGCGAAATTACCTACACTATTGTTAAAAATTTTAACATTGAGATTGAGAGGTAAAACTGCCCATGCCACAAACGGCAATACCACAGTTCCTAAACTAAAGACTATCCCTAACATCATCTGGACCCTTGCTCTGTGTCTTGCACAGTGAAATTCAGATAGGTAAGTTGTAAGTGCCGCGAAAGGTCCATTGATTCTAAAATTAAACTCTGGTGAAGATAAGTGATAAGAGAGATAAGCGCACGCACATGAAACCTCCTAGAAATTTGGCGATTATAAGAACAGTTGCGTTTTGCGATGATGCACTCATTAGAACGAAAATTCCATCGAGGAATAAACCGATTGCGAGGAGTTTTTTCCTGCCGAGGGTGTCGCATAAAAACCCCCAAACGAACGCACTTGATATCATTCCTGCAAAAAACTTATTGACGGGTTTGCCACCCGGAATTCCCACTTACCGATGTAAGTAATAGCGTTAAGAAATCCTTTATTTTCTAGGGTTAAACTTAAGTCGCAT